GCGTGTCACCCTCGGTTTCCACGTATGATAACAATAATCGGCGACACTGTAACTCATGCCTAGCTAGATAATGAGATCGACTATCCATAGTGGAATGAACTTGAGCGTCTGTCATTTGCACTATCATGTAGTCGGACCTCACGGATCTCTTCCACCATGGTGCACGACTCATATCGTGCAATGGTCTTAAGTCTGGGACAGGAAATCTATGTAAAAGAAAAAAATGTAGATCAAGCTTGATACACTACTGCGAAATACTCATTATTTGATATTTGATGTAGTACCTCAGCTTTATCGTACACGATGACGAAGAAACTTTTACGTCCACTCTGGAATCTGGCAGTGTTGCACTATCCACAGCTTGATCAAATAATGTCTGTTGATTCTGTAAAATATAATGTGAATCTTGGTAAATTGAATATAAGAGTATATACAATTATAGAACAATTATAATTATAATATTAAAGATAAAATAAATACTTTTGAAAAAATAAACTTAATTTGTATAAATATATTGAATCTCTTGGAATACTGAAATATATTGAATATATTGAGAAAATACACTTAGTTATACAAATATATATACTTACAGCATCTCTAGTATTTATTACAGGATTGCAAGTACATATTGGCTGTGGATTAAGGATAGCGGATATTCTATCTACAATAGTAATGTCTACTTCGCCTCTGCAGGGTTCCATTTGAATGCTAGAAGATAAGATTGCTTAAAATACTAATTTAATTTATTCGCAATTTGCTATCGATTAATAAAATCAACTAATTCTGTTAATTAATTAATTTAAAATAACAAATTGATATCAAAGTAAAATATTCAATTGTTAGATTGTTTAAAGAGGTAAATGCGAAATGACTTACTCGATTTCTGTGCGTGGATGTGCAAATTTCGTCATGTGAGCATGCCGGACAGCCTTTTGTGTATATTTAAATCTCATTCTAAAATCAATTTTATTGGAAAATCCAATATTATTAGCTGCATTTTCTTTCGTAAACGCTAATAGCTCGACAAATTCCATCGTTGATGCTCGATACGAGTTGGGGTTGTTGGAGTCGACCAAACACTCTACAACTTCCAGACTAGCTAAAGTCATGCTCCCCGATATCGCAGAATATTGACTAGTAGTCTTTTCACTGCCTTCAACCACTAGCGGTGCAGCCAATAATCTAATTAATTGATATTTTCTTTTTAATTTTTTTTTAAATTAATACAAAAATTAGATTTACCATTGTTCTAATATGATTAATGTACCTGATATGACTTAATCGACAGGCATCTGTGAGCGATTTTGATGCTGTATCGAAATCTTTACTTCCAAAGCCACCCATTGCGAAAGTTCCCAATTGTCTGAAAAATTCCTTCGCAGTATTTTTCATTTGTCTTACACTACTAGAAGTTAGACCGAGTTGTTCCACGCACGGGGTCAGTATATCTTCGTGCAACAGAACTAGAGCGACGGAGGACACCCTTATGTGGAACTGAGTAGTCTCTGCGGAAGTGTCGTTGTCTATATTGTGTCTTTGTCTATTATATCTCGTCGGCAGATTTGTCACAGAACTTTTTGAACTGATGCTACTGGTCGATATGCTACCATCCATACTGAAACTATTGCTCACGATCGAATCACACATCGATGTAGATCCCGGCAATTTCATCGGTAAGAATTCATCTTCATTATCCGATTCATCGACGGACCCTGTAGACCATCCTTGCGCGTATCGTAGATCCTGTAATATATAATTGCAATATTACTAATGTATTAAATTACATATACAAAAACGTGTCGATAAATTTCATTACCATAGTCTTCAAATCTTGCATAGGATGCGTCTGATGAATGAGTTCACGTTCTATGCGATTGAAATCGCTGCTAGCCATAGGTTTTTCTGCATATCTTCTTGGAACGACATTACTCATGTCTTCTAGATTCGGCGATGCTAGGCCATGTGCTAATTCTAACAAAACGTGCAACTGTCTGGGACTCAAGAACAAGGTAAGTGATCCCAGAATAATTTCTAGTTCTACCTGAGGAATACACATTGTTCCTTCATTTTAGAGGAATATAAAAATCTGGACCGGAGATATATATATCGTTACGGATACCATTTGAATCAAAAGATTAGAAATAACTTGTAATAATTTTTACTTACCTTTGGTCCCGATATTCCTTCCCCTTGTTTCATCTTCAATCTTATTTCTTGTCTACCCGCTAACTTGGCAAACATGATGGGATTTAATTCGTTTGAGTTGTTGACGGCATTTCCCTCTGGAGGAGTGTGCAGTATGCTCAGAGTAGGAGACATTTGTGCGGATGTAAACAGACTATCTGAATTCTATTGTCCAAAAAAGAGAAAAGAAGTTAAGATCTGATAAAATCTCTTTTACAATAATACTCGCGATATCGATATTCTACTTGATACTCGTTATACTTACTTTAGAATCGGGAGTAGAGCACGTACTTGTCACTAAACTTCTTGAAAATGTTCTCGCGCGGGAGGGAAATTCATCGGTGTGAAAGGTCACTCCTTCCATATAGAATCGTTTAGTGGAGAATGCCGAAATGATGTAACCCTTTGCACATTCATCGGGATCCAGGGACGTACCACTAGGATCTAATCCAGCCTCATCAGAGTATTCAAGGTTCTGTATCCACATTTCAACCGCCACTCCCATGGAAGAGTTCAAAGGTACGTGTTCCAGACGTATCACAGTATCGATGAATCTCACTTTGACCCTGGATAAAACTGAAATACACCAACAATAGAAAAGGTAAGTTTCAAATCTCACTCAATTTCAGATTTAAAAGTATAACTTGCACTTGTGTAGAAATAAAATAATATTCTACTTGAATCTATAGTCTGCGCAAATAGCTCCACTGCTTCTAAAGGTTGAGCGTTTCCTGCGTTGGACGCTTCCTGCTGTAAACACTCCTGTGCTAGTTGCATACTGGACGTCATGGAACTCCACATGGACTCGAACATCGACGTCCCGGTCTCGACTCTTTGTCGCGGTTGCACCGTAAATCTGAGGCCCTTCACCTCCATATAACTCGCTTGGCTGAGTAACGCTGACCATGGTATACTAAGAGATATCTCCAGTATAAAACCGTCAATGAATTCCACTGGAAGATGTTGTTGCTCTCCCATCTCATTGAGGCCCTAGAATTGCAATAGATAATCATTCTTTTTGTAAAAAGGAACCAAATATATATCAATTATATCATAAATATTTATTTAATAAAAAGGGAATAAAGAAATAAGATTGTTTACAAATCAATGAATAGCCATTATCTGGAATATAAAAAAATTGACACACTGTAAGTAGATTAAGGAAACAGTTATTCAACTGTATTATCAAGCGCAATAGTCTGCAATAAATTATCATTTATTAGCATAAAAGAAAATATAGTGTCAACCAATGAACTAGCACTATTGATGTGCCTCATTAATCAATGCATGAATGCAATCAATTGCGTTTGTGATGAATTGTTATATTAATATATAAAAACAGTTGCAATATATAGTTTTTATTTAATCAATAACAGAAAGTGATAAATTCTTTTGCACGCAAAATATAAAAAATAGAATAAAATAAAATATAAAATATAACAAAATTTAGAATAAATACTTTAGACAGGAAACTGCACAATTAATGAATGCATTTTATTTCATTATCTATTTATTATTTGACTTTAATCTTAATATTTAGTCGCATTATGCATATACATTAGCACACATATAGTACAATTAACTGTTCTCTATACATATCTTTCGACTATCATCGTGCAATGTTCAAGAAAAATGATTGCAGAATATACGCAGCGAGAAATACGCGTTCGTTTATCGAATCATCGGACATCGTACGACATCTCATCATCGTAATCGAACTTACTCGGTTTTTAAATGGATCAGCTGTTTAAAGACAACACGCGACGCACGAGATAGTCTCGCGGCGTGTAAGTAAATGTGTCTAATAATGCGCGTGGCGCATTTACGAAGTGGTGCAATATATCTTATCATCGCAAATTAGCTAACGGGAGAAGGAACGAGACAAAGGAAAAAAAAGAGGAGCGCGCGTTAAATATCCCACCTGCACGTTGAGATAGACATTGTCCACCTGGCCCTTCCCGTTGTACAGATCCACGGTCAGTTGATCTAGCGAGAGATCGTGGAGGAAGTGACCGAGGTAACGCTGCAGTAAGTACTTGCAGGCCCTCTTCTTGATGTCCGCCGACCAGCCGAGCCAAGACATTGCTGAAAGGTTTCGTCCCGTCTTGACAAATTTATTCCAAGGAAAATTCCGCTCGTATTTTGCGTCTGCGATAGGGAATCATCATCATCTCGTCGTCGTCGCACCAGGCACGTTGTCGCTAGGCATTGTCCCTCTCTCTCTCTCTCTCTCTCTTTTTCCCTTTTTCTTCTTTCTTTCTCCTCTTTAAGCGGCGAACGAACGCAAAACTCGTATTTAGCAGCAACGACTTAGTAGCGGACGACTCGCTCGGAATCTCATCTCCTCGACGGCTGACATAATATTAATCCGCGATCCTCGAGCGAACAATGGCGATGCGCTGCGACACGACACGCGGGTGTACGTCGGTCGCGTGGCGTCCCCACCTCGGATCGGAGTCGAACTGATTCGGAAAGACAAAAAACTCGTCCGTCCGACTCGACAGACCCGGCCGAACGCGAGCGAATGAGCGCCGAGGCCGATTCCGCTCCCGCTCTCGCTTCTGCGTCTCGTCTCATTCGTCGCGCTACTCCAAGGCCAGGCGGGCGGGAAACATTTTTGAAGAAATAAACAGGAAGAACCAATGATCCTTTCCGACTCCTACGGTTTCCGGTACTTGTTTATCCCCCTGATGCCCCATCTACACCTAAGGATAATTCTACTTGTGGCTTATTTCAGGGAGTAGGATGGACGATCAAAAACCATCCTGAATCTTGAAGTTGGTTTTCAATCGTAAATTCAATCGAAACAATTTACGTAATTTAATTTAAATTTAGATTGAAAACCTGAACCTGAAGGATTTCCAAAACAACATATACAAAAAATGGCGATGAAAGAAAAAGAGAAAATCGTGGAAATCGTTTATTCATCGGTGAAAAAGACCAAGAGATCCTCCGATTCGCAAAATGCGCCAATTGGACGAGGTTGCGTGCGGTGACGTCATCGGCGCTCTTGTCGCACACATGCGCCCTCCGAGCTGCGCACGTTCGCGGACGATTGTTTTGACAAGTGCCCCGATTGGATTTAAAGGGATCTGAAGCATCCGTCAATGAGAGTATGGTGGAGTACATGGATTCTAATTAATAACCGTTCGTCACGTAATCGTATGCCAGGATCTTGCGTTCGTCGAAACGCTCTCGTTTCGATTGTACAACCTTTAACCTGCTGAGAAATATGGCACTGACCAATATCTTGCTACTCAGCCAAATAGCGGGCTACGTCGTAGCTCTTATTCTGTCGCTCTGCATCATTGTGCCGATGAGCCTGCACCAGGATGAGTTTCGGTAAAGATCAGGAGATACAAGTCAATCAGTTGACGTTTGAAATTATTTCTACTCTATATACATCTCTAGTTGTATCTCTAAAGTTAGAGGCGCAAATAAATGTACTCAAGTACACACTTTTATTGAAAGTGTTATAAATGTGGTTCAAAAAATATATTTAAATGATTGCCTCTAGATGCACTAAATGTGCGCTCATACTATCACATTTGTCGTGGCACATTTAGAGATACATCTAGAGATAAATCTAAGAGATGTAAGCACTAAATGTGCAATAAAAATATGATTGATTTTAAATGTACATTTATCTGTATCTCTAAGAAATAGATGTAAGCTCTAAATGTGCGATAAAAGTATGATTGATTTTAAATGTACATTTATCTGCGTTTCTAACTTTAGAGGTACATCTAGAGATAGATGCGAGTTCATAATATGAACCTTAGTAATTATTTTTTCTTCTTGTAGGGGACATTGTCTTCTGTTCTCCACTGGGGTCTGGCAGGAGTCGGATGGCCAGTTTGTGGTGAAATGGGCATCACAGGCTTACTGTAATTACACCATATTTGTAGGCCTGGTACTCCTCATAGCATCAGCGGTACAGATCTACCGGTTGTCCTTGCTGATGTACCGCAGCGAGGACAGCTCGTTCCTCTCAGCTTTCGTGGACGTCGTCACATCCATCATCCTCGCCACCGTCACCCTGATTGCGGCGATTATCGTTACCTTAGGCTTTATGACGTGGTGCCAATGTATGACCAAGAGGTTCCCTTCGTGCGAGCTAGCCGCTGGAAATGATATCGACAAGGCTGACGGCATCGACACGTCCGGCTTTCATATCGAACTTGGCGCTGCTCAATTCGGCATCTGGAGCAGTCTTTCGATTTGGGTCGGTTTGTCGGTTTTCGCGGTCTTAAAACTGTTGCGATACCATCAACTCGAAAATATGAAGGTCTCCATGTATAGAGAGAGGCAAAAATTGATAGAAGCCACTACCAGCGGTCAGCAACAGGAGCCGAGTTAAAATTTGATGGTCCAAGTTTTCGTTTTCAGGACTGATATGTTTATAAGAATACGTTTGTTAACTTGCAGAGGTAAATAAGACTATATCTCTAACAACATATATTTTATGTAAACAGTTACGTTATAGGTGTGAATTCTTCATTAGTTTTGAAACGCACACAATTTCTGCGCGAATGAAATGATATATTAATATAATGGCTATTATTTGTGAACACTGATGCAGAGTCGATTAGTTTCACAAAAAAATACAATTTAATATTTTTTAATTAAAACCAACATACCTGTGTCTACAATAAAATATTTTTGAAATATCACACACAAATAGGGATAATCTCATTTACTACTGAAGAAAAATTCTTCAATAAAAATGAACAAAAAGGCTCTAATAAAAGATAAAACACAAAGAGGAAAATGAGCTAATGACAGCCAAACGTAGAAAACAGTGCAAATAAATAACTTCATAAAAAATTTTTTGTTTCCATTTCTTATCGGACTATTTTTAGTTGTCTAATTGTTAACAAAATTATTTGTGAGCATATTATTTTTTTAGCACAATGACATTTTTGTGACAATGTCATATTATTGCATCTGTCAAGTTCTCTAACAGCTGGAACCGATTGGAGGATTTACATTTTTACTATTTTTCTATTTGAATCATGATGGATTGCATGGAAGTCGAATAACACAATTTTTATATAATTATATATACTAGTCATATTTTATTATTTTTATGGATGATACGAATAATTTTGTTAATTTTATTTAGTAATTGTTAAATAATTATTGAAAATTGTTCGATAAAGAGATTCAAAATATTTAATTGAAGGATTTTTTATGAATATATTAATTTACGCTATTTTCTGCACTTGGATCACACACAACACACACATATTAGTTCTTTTTTCTCTTTGTGTTTTAATATTCTTTAATACTCTTGCATCATATATTATTCGACTTTCTATAACTTTAGACATATAAGGTTTTTATAAAAAAATTATGTTAATAATGTATATATTATAGTATAAATATTTCCATTTGTATTAAAACAAATAGAAACATCATATAGTATAAGTCATATAGTATAAGTGTAACAAAAGTTGTGTGATATATATTACTGCTACATATCTTTTATATCATTCTTTTAATATTTTTCCGATTCTATTATTCTATTATATCTGTATATGTATATAATGCGTATGAGGTCGTTGAATTATTGAGTTTGAGTATATAATTTGTGGGAGAGATTCTTGTAACGATAGCCTAAATTTAAATAATACTTAAATATGTTTAAATATATTTATATCATATACGAATTATAATTATACATGTATAAACTATAAAGTGATAATATATCAAAATTATATCATCTGACCACCAAACTAAAATATAATGTGCTACATTTTTAACCCTGGAAATTTCAATACATATAACAATTTGCAAATATGTATCTCACATGTGACAAATCAAACTAAAATGATTAAATGGCTAAATAAACGATCAAAGTGGCGACGTGACTTGATCAGAAATTATATAATCTTTGTATTTTCTTGCATATACCGAGCGTGCTTCTACGACTACCCGGTGGACACGTTCTCCTGGGAACGTCGATTATCATAAAGGGCGCGGTGTCCGTTGACACGCACTCCAACTGGAAGGTGGTTTCGTTTACGGCTATTACTCCATCGGGCGCGCAAGGACCTCCTATCGTTTTCAGAGGATAACACGTGTCGTTGAACGGCACTACGCCGTCCTCCAAGCAAGGATTCTGCACGCAACGTGGCACCGCCTCGTTCTCGGGTAGAACGACATAATTCCAGGGCGGACAAGGACCCTGCCTGTAGGCCTCGTGGCAGGAATCATTCAATGGAAAGTATAGGAATCGTGGTCTACAGTCGCACACCCAGGCGTCCTTCGCACTGTCACCAGGATAAAGAAGCATGTTCTTCGGACAACTATCCGGGGCAGACACGGGAATACGTTCCGTTATCGCCTAAGAGAACGAATATATCAAGAAAAGTCTACACACATCTCTTCATTTTTTTTACATTATATCTTTATTACCGTGGAATTGCCGCCGCTGACGTGAGACGTTTCTTCATCAGTCGGAAATGCCAGATCCTGGCCAGGTATCGTCATACAGTTGTACGTAAGAAGCACAATACCGACATATAAGAACTTCATCTTTGTTGTTGGATGAAACTGTCCCACTGAGAAGATCGAAAATACAGATATTTAGAAATGAAAAATTGAAAAGGCCAGCGATAATCGCAATGTAAAACTTGGATAAACAAGCGCAAAGGTCAATCGGAGAGCTAGTTGTGTATGGGTATATTAACGATGCTAATGATTATTTAGAAAATAATTGCACATAGGGATGTCTCGATCCGTTTCTTCTTCGATGTAAACTAGAAAAATAGAAAGCCGGAAATATTCATATATATATAATGGGCGTTTTCTTGGAATATATATATATACTCCAAGAGAACGCCCATTATGAACTATCAGAATTTATCTGACTAGCTATTAATGAGATATTTATATATGTATTAACATTTATTTATAGTGTTAATTTATAAATGTGGTATTTTATATGGCTCTCTTCGACTGGCGCTCTTCGAGATTTAATGCAGAATATGAAACTAAAATATGATATATGAATATGAGAATTCCTTACAATGTGTTCTTGGCAATACTTCCTGTCCTATCTTCCGGTAAGAAAAGAAGATGCTCACGCCTGACAGGAGAGATACTCTCGAACGTACGTACAATTACACTGTGAGCCGAACACGACTACGATGTTTGAAGGCCAACCAGTATTAAACAAAAGAAAATAAAAGAGTATACCGACTAAAACGATAATCCTCTTCACTAATACCGATGCGCCTCTATATGTATACGTATGTATATATACAACTTGCGAGAAAGCCGTTATGACATATATGTACAGGAACAGTAGAGGAAGAGGAATTCTTCGGAAAAATATGCTTCTTGGAACCACGATTCAAGATGATTAAATTACTCGCACCAAGATGTGACATAGACCAACACTGAAAAGTAAATATGTTTTTTTCTTTTTTAACATGTCTGACGATGTAAAACATAATTCTTTATGTAATTGAAACTTAAATTATTTATTAGGCTTATCAAGAATCACGGTCTAGTCATGTGATGTATGTTATATATACAATATATTGCAGAAACGAGCATAGAATATTCGAGTATCAAAGAAAAGTAAAAATTTTTATTACTGTAATCATATTTACAGAAAGTGTATCGTTCGAATCGCTCAGAGATTCGGCTCACTCGTCTATCTTCAAGTTATCTTCGAATTCTATGAGTTCGTTGAGTGGGTTTAAATTATTCATACATGCTAAGAAATGACTCTTGTCGTATTCAGGCCAGGATTTAAATTCCTTAAAAAGTTCTATCAATTGTGCTGGAGTCAAGTCACCAAATTGTGTAAATATTGTGTAATCTTTAGCTATTAATCTGATTCCACATTCTGGTACCCATTTTCTGAGGATAAAATATGCAATTATAAAATAAAATATAAAAAGATGCATATATATATATATATATATATTTTATGATACAAAAATATTTGATGAAAATCATAGTTACATCACTCACTCTAATTCAGGTATCACTCTGTTACAGCGTTTCTGCATGTGATGTCTTACAAAATACGAAAACGTTAGCCAATCGTTTTGTGATAATTCTGAGTAAAGGCTCGATTTTGGCTCAATTTTTATCACATTTAGTTGCTCATAATCCTCTTTTGCCCACATACAGGTTGAACTCTGTTTAACTTTTCTGTTTTGCCTTGGCCGAGGCAAAAAAGCATTTCTATTTAACGTGCCCAAAAGTTTAGAACTGAACATTGCTTGAAACATCACTTTTGCATAAGTATATATCTTAGCATTACTGGTATCACAATTGTATTTCTAAAAACATGATACAATCAAATTTTAATATAATTATCAAGTATACCATAAAGAGAAGAAAAATAAAATACTAACATGCCACAGAGACGGAGATATCGCAAGGTAGAAGACAGGTCTTCCATGTAACATGAAGTAATTGCGAAGCAACAAACTTTGTATGAGGTGATGAAAAAAGAATTTATCAGACGTCGCACCAATTATCTGCATAGAAGTTTCATCTTCCCATTTTTTATTTTGTACTCCTTGAAAAATTTCCTGTATCTGATTCTCACCTTTACTTCTGTCTTTATAAAACAACTTGCGAATACTAAGAAGATTAATATTTCTCAGATCCAATCTTCCGGAATACTTCTTATGGATCGCATTCAATATTGGATGTAGCTGCTTCTTCCCTTCGTACAGATGAATTAATGGTACATCGTTTTTCAATAATTCTGTAGTTAATACACCGTAACCAGGATTCAATTCAGCAACAAAACATGTATTTTTCAAAAGATCATTTTTGATCAAAGAGACGTATTGTGCAGCTGTGTTTCTGTCGATTAAATATAACACGCCTACATCTGTCTGATAAAACTTCACCTGTTTTGTACAAACGTCGACTAAATCTGGATTAACACTGCGCACATAGTTAATAATATCAAGTATCTCTTTATCATCCAATATAGATTTTCTTCTCTTCTTGTTTATTTGTAATTTTATCTTTTCAATTTCCTTCATCTGTGCAGTATCATATTTTGCTTTCTTCAAATTTAAATTATCGCTGGTTAATGTCGAGCAATAAACATTTAAAACATGCTTACTTCTTCCTGACAACCAGGAACTCATCACTGGCAACAAGTTTTTGCTCCACATTTTGCATCCAATTTATTATAAACCAAAAATACAAAATCTAGTTATTTATGACAAGTGTCATAAATAATGAAGTAATCCTGGAAAAGACGTCTCTTCATCGGTATCAATTGATTCTTCCAACATATATTATAAAAATGGAAAAATTAATCAGAACACTTCTATAATAATTGCCTAAATTAAAAATTATTGGTCAGATTAGGTTAGATTAGATTTGTTGTATCATATAAAACACGTGTTTTAATGAAGAATAATTTTTCTTGATTGTAAAAATTAATTATGCCGATTGATTGATGACAATATTCGTCAAATTATCTTGTATCACATGTAATTTGTCGAACAATTCAAACAAATTCGTAGATATAATACCCATACACGTGTTTTCGTCATGTATCAACCTAATCTCAACCTAGTTTTATCTGTGCATGTATAACCTCATCCAAATACAATTTGCTTCCGCTGTTTTTGCTTGTACGTTATTTAAGATAACAATAAGTAATTAAAAAGTATGTAATCTCAGAAATTCTAATTTTTAAGAAATTTGAATATTCTTTGTTTTTCTTCTATATTTATTATGTATATTCTATATTTTATATGCATTAATTTCGATTTAGACAAACTCATAAATAGCAAAACTTTAAATATGTTATTTAAATATATATTTTCTAATATATTATATATAATATGCAATTATAATATATATATACATATATATATATATATGTTATAATTATATATAATATAATTATATGCAATATATATATATGTGTGTGTGTGTGTGTGTGTGTGTGTATTACATATAATTATATTATATTTTCTATTTTGAAAAATCTATAAAAAGTTTAGTAATTATTACATCGATAAAGATATATATCAAGGCATGAAAAAGATTTAATTAAAATTAAAATCTATTTTCTTGTTTATGAGATTATTATTATTAAATTATTTTTGTTATGCTTGTATATATATATATATATATATATATATATATATGTTTAAATATTTTAGATATCATCTTTGGGTTTCAGGGAAGAAAACCGTTTATCAGGATTACATTATTTCTCTACTATCATCTTCATCATCACAATTATCGTTGTCAAGATTTTATAAAATGGCTCAAAGTGCAGCTTTATTGTCACGCATAATGGCATCCTCTATATCTGCCACTGTGCAAGCTGGTAAAATAATTCGAAATGTCTTGAACAAAGGTGGATTGAACATAGTGGAGAAGGGTAAGAATGATCTACAAACAGAGGCGGATCGTTGCGCTCAACGATGCATCATAACATCCCTGAGTCGTCAGTTTCCCAATATAACTATAATCGGTGAAGAGGAACCATCCAGTTGCGAGGTACCATCTGAATGGATCATCACAGAAGCAGATCAAGAGGTGTTGCAACTAAAGCTACCATCCCACCTGGAGGAAGTTAATCCCAAAGACGTGTGTGTTTGGGTGGATCCTCTAGATGGTATCAATATCTTTATTTAAATCTTGAATCTTGAGTTTTGCTATGACAGTAAAATGCATTTGCATCTCTACGTTATTTCACAATGTCCAAGATATAAAATAACAGAAAACGTTCGTTATATTCATGAAAAATTCACTTTGCAGGTACAGCAGAGTATACTCAAGGACTGGTGGAGCACGTCACAGTATTGGTGGGTGTAGCAATCGGTGAAAAAGCAGTTGGAGGCGTAATACATCAACCGTACTATAGGAAGGACGAAAATAGCACATATGTTGAAAATGGTCGTACATTGTGGGGTATCGACGGCGTGGGATTCGGTGGTTTCACGCCAAAACCACCTCCGGAAGGAAAGAGAATAATCACGACCACTCGGTATAGCGATTTTAACATTATATTGCACTGCAGTATTTTACACGAATATATACGTTTCCTCGTCTTCGTTTTCAGCTCGCATTCCGACAGCATTGTCCTGAGCGCGGTAAAGTCCTTAAATCCAGACGAGGTGTCGCGCGTAGGCGGTGCCGGGCACAAGGTAATTACACCAACGAATATTAATATGATTTTGGTCAATGATGACTAACATCACCGGCAATCTTTGAATTGTTCGAGATTTATAACGCGACTGAATTAAATCAAGATACATTTATTCGCAGGTAATTCTCCTGTTGGAGGGAAAAGCTCACGCATACGTGTTTGCCAGTCACGGATGCAAGAGATGGGACACCTGCGCCCCCGAAGCTGTTCTTCGCGCGATCGGCGGTGTCTTGACCGATCTACACGGTGAATGCTACTCGTACAACCGAGAGACGACGTACGCAAACACGAGAGGCGTCCTGGCTACCGCGCCTGGCCAGTCGCATCAGTGGTACTTGAGTCGTATACCTGATGAAGTAAAGCAAAAGTTGCAATAGGTAATATCGCGACGTGGTTCGTGGTTTTTAGCTACTTATTTTTAACGGACTTTCTCGACTATTTCTCGCGTTCTTTGCATTTGCGTCTTTTATCGGAAGTTTTAATAATCATTTCGGGGACGCGAAATAAGAAAACATTCCGTAATGATTTTATATTCCTCGATACTCTGGTGTAAAGAAGAAAAAATACTAGCGCAAGAGCTATATTTTGAAACAATGTAATTACGCAATAAAAGAAACACATTTTGTTCGAAAGAGACTTGATTATTTCGCTATTATTTTGTTTACTAGTCGAGAGATATGAAATTTTTTTCATCGTGAAAATAAATTTAATTGTGCCTATTTAAAATCGTTAAGTTAATAAAGAATAGCGCATAATTTTTAACATAATCAAGGGATGTCTGGTAGATATGTTTCCAAGAGACGTCAGCTTAGATGACGCTCAAGTAGAATATATAAATAAACGAAGAAATAAAAATAATTTGATGTAGCGATTATTCCGGTTTTTCTCTAACGTAAGTCTAATAGAGGGGAGGATAAAAGGCGCTCTGCGTAAGAAGCGTCGACGAATCAGTACTCGACTGACGACCGGGAGTCATCATTGATTTGAAGCAAATCCGACATTCCGATATTGTATTCTTGCATTTATTATCGAAACGACTGGTCGTCCTTCGAGAATCTCGCTTGAGAAAGCGAGAAGGGAGGAGAAACACGAAAGTTAAAAAATTGACGAATTAAGGTCAAAGGAATTCGAGAAGAAGATAGGAATAAACTCGTCAAGAGACTAATTAAGGATCAAGGACAACGACTGAGACGAGCAGAAATCATGGAACGTTCTTTAGTCGCAAAGTCGTTCCTCCTCGCGATATTTCTTGTGAATATTCACGAGTATCGCGCTTACACTCCTCCAGCAGCTAAAGTGGAGCCGCTTCATCCTACAGGACTCCGCATATCAATTCCCGGTAAAATCTAAATATCTTCAATTGCAATTACATTTTGATTAGAGAGAGAAAAAGGATGCTCGATTAAAATAATTGAATTAAATATTAACTTATGAATAGTTTATTTTGTACATTTTAATATTGAATTAATATATATATATATATATATATATATATATATATATATATATTACAATTTTGCTCGTAAATAACTAAAACAATAATTTACTAAACGTTACTAAAAAAATATTTATTTAAAATTAAATTGTTTGTCAAGAATTTTCTAAATGACTGATAAAATTTTACATACCAGAGTATATTATTCATAACATATAAATTAACATTCAAGTTGCTTACTACTTGTTATTTTGATTCCTTCACATTGCTGACATCATAATACTATAAGTATAAACAAAAGATAAAGTCGTATTTTAATCTGAATTTTTTTCCAGACGAACATGGAATTACATTAGTGGCCTTCCACGTCAAATTCAACGAAGATTTTGATGGCTTAGAAGCGGGGCATATAGCGAGAGATATTCTCAAAGTTCGTAATCAACGTTGGACCTATCAAGATCGGCAAACTCAGTTAAAGAGAGACGACATTATTTATTATTGGGTCCATGTAGTATATCAAGGCCTTGGTTACAATCTGATTGATCAGTCGTTTCGGGTTGTCGGTAAATATTTGCCTCAATAAATCATTATTTATTATTGTTAGTCAAAGTTGAATTATTCTATCTTTTATTTTTCGAAGCAGAAAATTAGTTAATAAATATGATTAATATTAATATTAATGATATACATTTATACAATGTTAAATTTTATATTGTGATTTATATCCATTCATATTGTAAAACTTTATTAAACATAATATATCATTATTTTGCTATTTTTTTTAATGATTAGTATTCTTAAAACAATGTTTATCGCAATTTCCAGATTTTTACAATAGCGATGGCACTAAATATAACAGTGACACAGGCGAGCAAAGTTGCACGACGACGTCAACTACGTGGATCTTCGAGAATGGCGAACGACGACAAACCTGTCCGCGTCAATTACTTTTCGAAGATAATTTCGATAATCTTAACACCACAAACTGGAATTCGATTCAACGTTTTGCCGGTGCACCGGTACGGATCATCATTATTTATAATCAATTATTAATAAAACCGGAGAGTAACCGGTTCTATATAATACTTGTTTTATTGTCTAATAATATCATATTGTGATTCACACTAATTAAATTACAATGCTATTTTTTCCACCAGGATTATGAATTTGTTGTCTACATGACCAACGATGTAACAGACGTAACCGACGGCCGACTGCGCATCAAACCGATTCTTCTCGACACTAAATTCGGCACGGATTACACATCACGTGGAAGATTGATATTGGAAGGGTAGAGTTCCATAATCTTCGAATTAAATTTAAAATCAAAATTAGATAATATGACTCGAAAAAGGATTTTTATTTGCTTTTAAAATTCACACACATATCTCATATATTAAATCTCGGCAGATATTGTAAATTTTGAATCGAGCTTTTCATATCATAAAATTTATGTTCTAATTAAGGCGCCTGGATTCTCGTCGTGACAATGTTAGATTGTGACGTCAGAGGCGAGGAAGCACAAGCTGAAAATTTTTAGATGCTATTTTTAAATGAAACGATATTTCAATGAAACAATTATTATAGATGGCTTTAGTACACTTTTAAAAAAAAATTTTGTTAAATTTAAAATTAATGGATTATTTCTTTTTGTGTGTGTGATTATCATGCAATATTACGCGCATAAGATTTCTATAATATAGAAATATATATTCTATAATATAATTGATGTGTTACTTTCAATTGTAATAATTTACACTGTAATATCTTAGAGATTTCATACGAAAATTAAATTTAATTATACATTTTTCAGTTGCACGGGACAAGTTGGATCAAATGAATGTCAACGTCAAGCTGCTGGTTCATATATCTTGCCGCCGCTGATCTCGGGACGTCTTAACACGAAGGGAAAATTCGAGTTTCTCTTCGGACGGGTCGAAGTAAGGGCTAAGCTGCCGCGTGGCGATTGGGTATACCCTCGTAAGTTTATCGTTAGACATTTTCAATAGTTAAAGATTCGTTTGCGTCACCGCACAAAATTCATTTCGCAGTGATAACTTTGGAGAGCGCTGAGAATACGTGGGAGTTTGGACTGCATCGCGAAATTAGGATCGCGTCCTCGGTGGGCAACGACGAGCTGAAAACATCCAGTAACGAAAACATCAACAACCGTCTATTGAGCGCGGGTGGATTGACCGCTTCCTTAAACGAGAGCAACGCGCAGAGCATTAATCTTTCTAAAATGCCCAAGAGGCAATCGAGCAAATCTTGGTCGGATGAGTTCCACATCTTTGAGATTGAATGGCAAACCGGTCTCATTGTGGTAAAGGTTGATGGAGTACAGTATGGCGAACAGACCATGGATGGATCATTTAGCAAGCCGGTAAGTCGGAGTTGAAGACTTTTATATTTTTTTATCAGTATATTTTTTTTTACAATTTAATTGAATCGCGTAATGACGTAATGTTGTTTATCTTGCAGTCATACTTGACTTTGGCAGTCGCTGTTGGAGGTATTCATGAATTTGCGGATCACGTCACGAGTGCTGGCAATGTCAAGCCATGGCGAAACGTCGAGGCAAAGGTGTGATATTATATAAAATTTTAAAATGAGAAGTAGCTTATCGGATATCTCTTGAACAAATAAAAACATAATCAACGTTAAATTATTTTTCATAGGCCATGTACAAGTTTTATCGCGCAAAAGACAACTGGTATCCCACGTGGAACTCACAAACGGGCCTTCAAGTGGATTACGTTAAAATTTGGGCGCTATAAATACGCTTGTAAAACGTCAGCAAAAACAATTCGTATAAAATACATTTTTACATATAAAGCATATTTTAATTAACTTCAGATTATATATTTTATAACACATTTTTCTCACAAGATAACAACTATATCTCAACTCATACAAAATAATAAATAGTAACAAAATGAAAAAAACTTGTTTGCGTAAGTGTACTTGAGAATTAATTCTACTTTTAACAACTAGGGAAGTTGTCTTATACCGATTTAACACAGTTTGTACAGGTCTCACGTGCATTGTCGATCAGAAGAAATTCCTATATACTATTGAAGGGAAGGTGGCGTCAGGAAGGTACTGGGAACAGGTTGCAACATGTGTAATCTAACATCCTGAGGACCAAGACCGTTTCCCAGCTGCTCGATGAGCCACTCTCCGCGATATCCGAAACGCTGTCGATACGTTTCCGCTGCTCGCGGACCATCTTCGGGTCTGAACTCGATGCGCATCGGACTCTGGCCGGTTCTCGCGAAGTGCGCAAAACGCAGAAGACTCGCGACGCCGCTCCTGGTCCATTCCCGGAGCTGGAATTGACTCGGCCAGAGTCCCAGGAAACTGGACAGTCGATTCCCGAGTAATGTTTCCGGCCACCTGAGAAACGACGACGACGACAAGTCGAATGTTCTGGCGTTTCTCGTCGACGCTCGATCGCTGCACCATGCGCCTGTCTGCAGCCGTGATAAAAATCATTTAATTTAATTAATAGGAGAAATTGAAACAGTTTATTAATTACTTTAATAATAAGTTACGAAATTAAGAGACACACATACATCGTCGTTGAACAAAATAGAACCGTGGAATGATTGACATTTCTCCTCGAGTGAACGAGAAAGTCTTTGAACCGAATCAAAACTCATATTAATTCTTACGGATCACTTACCACGCAAAAGGCGATCGTTAAGAGTACCTTATCAATGTACATGCTCTTATATGCGGGTTACACTTACTACGGGAACTTACCGGAAAATAACGAGCGACGATCCAATCCGGCTTTTATGTTCTCCTTACGTCCTGTTCTTCGTGGTAAATTCGTGATTCGAATCGCGGATGATCGCAGAGTAATCGATTCACGATTAACTTATTGTCATTCATGGGACGGCCGGTTTTTCAAACTCTCGTGCGTCGAACACGTTGGACGCGCGATCAAAGGTTTTTTTACTTTCACTCCCGTACAATAGACCTTGAGAGCATTTTCATATAAGCAGGCCGAATTTCTTTAAAGGTACACTGCGCTTCGGGGTGGCAATACCGTTTCTAAGCGGGAGCGAACATGGCTCGAAACCGAATATTGGTAAGTTTTTTAATGAAGAAAAAAAGTATTTTTTAATTAAAAATGAAGAAAAAATTATTTATCGCGCAGCATTTAAAATTAATGCAATTTGAGATTAAATTGTAAATTACCTAGCGATAATAATATTAATTTTGATGAGTTAATTTAAGTAGAGTGGATTTTTTGCTTTTTTATATATGTTAATCTCAATAATCGTTAATTTTATTTTATTCTTCGAAGATCTTTATTTTTTATTTTATTGTATTTTAGATTGTCGCGCTGATAGCATTGTTACTTCACAATGAGATACTCATGTCAACCGCAGACCCTCTAGTCTACCAAATTGTGCGCGATTTAATTCAGTATAACTTAGCGGGTCCAGCTGCATTCCACGAGGCAAGTGTATAAAAAGATACTTGACATAGTTTTAATTTTGTGGTTTCTATCGGTGTTATTGCGTAGACAACACATTGGAACTTTGACCCAGAGGCTGGAAAACAAAGGAGGATCCAGTACGAGAAGGATAATGGACGTTATGGAGAATATGCAATAGCTAAATTGGGAACTATGGACATATGGAAGAAGAGTCGCGAGAAGCTGAAGGATGAATCTAGCGAGTAAATGTGACATTTTTAATTTAATTTAACATATAATTTTCCAACTCACTATGTATATTTATATTTAATTTTTATCAAATATACTTAAAACTAAAGTCAATTTCAATTTATTTTTATTAATATAATATTATAGATATTTACGATATGAGGTTTCAATTACGTCATCAATAATAACAATTGCGCGCAAAATAATTGTCTCGTTATTTTAGCATTTTCTAATTTAGAGAGGCAGACTAATTCTGCCGAATAAATTTTAATCACATGTTTGCAATTAAATAGAATAACAGATTTCTTTTTTTAATTATGTCACTAATTACGATTGTAAATTTAAAGTAATTAAAAATATGTATTTCCTAATATTCTTCTTCTTCTTCTTCTTACTATTTAAAAATGTAGAAATTTAATTCTCTCGCAAAAAAGTATCACGTTTTACAAATACTTTCACACATGCGTATTTCAGGCAATCGACGTTCCAGGTGAAGTAATCATTGCATGTAGTACAAAGTTTCCAAGAAACTTTCACCGTGTCACGATGTCGAGGAAAGAATTGGGATGGTAGGGGAATGAAGAAATTCAGACTGTGTTCCAAGTGGGAGCCTAAAACGTCGGATCCAGTCGACGTGATCGATATCATCTTGTAGTATCGAGTCGTTAAATAGTTTAAATTGTGTTGTTCCAATAAAAAAAGAAAAACAAACTTTTACTTCGTACTTTATTTACAAGTATTATTTTCCCGCAACTAATTGAGAGGAAGAGAGAAAGCACTTGCTATCATCTGCCATGGCGGGTTTTATCTCTGTAAGTAATAGAAATGAAGAGTTTCAAATCGTTAGAACGTATTTCGCTTCTTTTTTTTTCGCCTCACACTCGAGTGAACACTTAACTAATATATTCTATCGCAATTTTTTAATTACTTAATATAATGCATACGTTTACACGAATATCGCATTTATTTTTATTATTTTTCTTTTGTGCGTTGTACACTGAAAAAAATTAAATTAATAAATATTTATTTTAACACTGTCTAATAAATTATTTATTTGAAACAAATATTTTTCACATCAAATTAATATTATTAATTTAAAATAAATTATTTATTAGGCAATATTGAAATAAATATTTATTTGAATTTAATAAATTTTGTTTTCACACATGAAAAATAAAACAACATTTTTTTTCTTATTTTATTCGAAATTTTGATGCATTTATAGTGGCTGACTATGACCGCGTTCGCTATTGTATTTTTCGTTCTAATTCATGGAGAAAGAGGTACAGCTACGATCGCAGAACCTAAAGCACCGAATTTTCAATATTTTGAGCGGTAAGTGACGTAAAGCAAACATCTCGAGATATTTAATGTAAAATAAAACTAGTCGACTCTTATTTGTACTTATATATAAGTAGAAAAAATATTTCGATTATGCATTGTAGTGTAACAATCTCCTAAGAAAAAAAAATTGGTCACTAAAACGTATCGAATGGTACCGTTATAATTCTTTTTTTAGGCCAAGATATCGCTATCCTTATTACGACGAAAACGGCAAGGGAAAGTTGCTATATGGCTATGGTGGACCAGAGCTGTATCAATATAAAACATATAGTCCTCTCGAAGGAATTCATTAATGTAATTTTGAAGGAATTGATTGGTATCATTTCTTTCTTGTAGAAATTCATTAATTGATAAAACCTTTTTTTTTATTAAATCAAAAGATTAAATCAAATTAACAATAATCAAAAAATAACTTCATTGTCTAATCAAAAGATTAAAACTCGAAATAAAATGTATATATGTGAAATATATTAAACATTTAAAAAAATTATTAATATCGATATGTTCCCCTCATAGAAAGTCGGTTCGGATATATCTATACATAATATAATACACACGAGTATTCTAAGAGAAATTCAAACTACTTAATCTAAATATTTCGAAAACTAAGCATTATATTGAAAATGTTTTAGAAAAGGTAATGAATTTCGAAGAAAATGTTATATATTGACTTTGTATATATATATATGAATATATATATTCATGTATGTGTGTAAGTAAACAGGTAAGATTATATCAGAATTATTAAAAAATTTAAAATTAGGATTCCGATATGTCATTATTGTAGCTTATGTCAATTCGTTTTCAAAATGATTAAATTCTTTTTCATTAAAAATTTTTGAACTTTTTGAATGTAAGTTTTCCAATAATTGAAATATTTCAAATTTTTATTACTATAATGTATAGGCAGAGATTATAGTAACAACATGTGATTGCTAATTCCAAAATCTATTAAACTTTAATAGATTAATTCTGATAATAATCTCCAGTTGGAACTTATCGATGTATTTGTTGTAAATTGTAAAATTAAATTATAATAAATACCAAACACATCGATCACTAATGCGATATTGTATTACAAGTCGTAACGATATATTTTCTCAAAACGGCGATGTTTCATAAAAATTTTTACTAGAATCTTTCATTAGAATTTTTAGATCGTAACTTTGTTGAAGGGATGTGTAAAGCAAAAATCAAAACATTCTCCGTTTAAAACGGATTCAAGCTACTAAATCTATTAGGAACTCGATCGAATCGACTATTGTTGAGATTTAATAAAGTAATCTCTCAATTAAACGGCTCATGTAAATATCTTGCATGTGACACCGCCGCGTTTCGCAGTTTGTGGAATTAATAAGGAACATTGTAAGAGCGTTTATTTTCGCTGATAGGATTAGAACTGTATTCTTAAATGCAATCGATTTGTATGACTGTGATTTTAATTACAATAAGTTTGTTTCGTCTTCTTACTCGGTATAATGCTGCATGATTCGCTTCTCCTCTAACGTGAATTGACGGACAATGAATGAATAAATGGCGGAATCGACATTTCCTCCCAAAATGGATCTTAAAAATTATGCACATTATTTAGAAAAAGTGTGTAAGAGAGATAGAGAAAGACAGATACAATGATTCGGTGCAAACATTGCTTTGGACTGCAGTCTATGACTATATTATAGATAAATATTGTTAAAAGTCGCTTTGATCTATCAAACGTGCGTGGAATGTGCAGTAGCTTCGCTATCATCTATGAAATGGTGATTCGTAGTCTCGTTTGTCGAGACAATAATGAAATATAATAATCTAATGGTTACTATGTAATCTATGTAAATCTACTTCATCATTATCGAAATGTTCTTTTTATGTGTGTGTGTGTGTGTGTGTGTGTGTGTGTGTGTGTGTGTGATATACTTAAAAAAAAGTCGAATTTGCAAACGGTGGAAAAGAACCCGCAGTCACTGCGCAATCAATACATAGAATCTTTGTCGAAAGAATATTATTCTTTTTTTTCTTATACGCGTATTAACTGCATACGTGACGAGGTTACGAATGTGCAAGCATAATCGAGTAGATGTGAGTTAAAAGTGTGAGAGGTAAAATGTATCATCAATTATAAACGCGAACACGATTGCACGCCGATTGCATATTATATATCCTGATATCGCTGAGCGATATACTTGTATAATTGATGCGTTTATTCTTTATGAATATGTTTGTCCGCCTTGCTCTCGCCGGCAGACTGTAACTGTCATACAAAGTCCATTTCAAACTTGTTGTAATACTGGTTGTTGCTGCGACGTCCCTGCAGCTGTCTCTCGATGAATTTCTTCATCTCGCTGATCACGAAGACACTCGATGTCAACGCTGCCAGGAACAAAAGATCTGTAAAGTGAAAAATAAATATATTTAGAGAAATGCATTGATTGTTCTTTATCTATATTGAAACCCATAAAATACCTGTCGCCGTGAGTGCCTCAGTTTGAAATATTCTTTGCAACGGAGGAAAATAGATCACGAGCATTTGCCCGATGACAGATAATGTTACCGCTACCAAGAACATTTTGTTACTCCACAATCCGATTGTAAATATAGATTTTGTCTGAAATAAACAATTGCATTTAGAGATACATCCTTTATTTTCATATCAGAATTCGTAATGTGCAAAATTTTACCTGTGATCTACAGCTAAGTGCGTTAAACATGTCGAAGAATACGAAGCAAGTGAATGTCATGGTAGTGTCTCTCGCGGTATTTCCATTGACCATCTGAAATAAAATGTATCCATGTATACAAGAAAGAAAATTGAAGATTCGTTTCTTGAAAGATTGATCTCTGCATCTTGAAAGTACCTCTCTGTTGTATACCCATAGAGTGCCAAGAATGATGATACTAGCCGACAATAAAACATTAATTATGAGATGACGCGTAATCATTGGCTCCTTTGTGTTACGTGGTTTTTGCTTCAGAACATCTTTGTCGACCGGCTCTACGCCAAGGCTACGCAGATAAAAACAGAAAAAGAAATTAATACGTATAAAAAAAGAAATATTTAAAATATTTAGCAATATTTGACCTTTGAGCAGGCGGACCATCCATAATGATGTTGATCCACAGTATTTGCATAGCATTCAAAGGATTCGGTATACTCATCAATGTTGCAAGAGCAATCAGAGAGAGCGCGGCTATGCTGGTACTTAATTGAAATCTTACGAAATTACGAATATTGTGAAAAATACCCTTTCCTTCTTCGATCGCGGCGCTAGAACCAAAAACGAAAAACCTTGTGTATAGATATTGTCTTATTAATTCATCGTATGTGCTAACATTGTTACACAAATATAAAATATTTAATTACAAAATTTAATAAAATACTTAATAATACTTAATAATTATTTAATAACATTTAATTATATTTAATATTTTAATAAAATATTTAATATAAAATATTTACATAATAGTTCCAAAATCATCATCGACTAAAATCATATCGGCAGCTTCCTTGCAGACATCTGTGCCATTTTTGCCCATAGCAATGCCTATATCGGCTTTCTTCAACGCAACTCCGTCGTTTACACCGTCACCAGTCATACCAACTATATTGCCGTTCCTTTGTAAGGCTTTTACGATACAAAGTTTATGCTTGGGTGTCACGCGATAAAATACGCTAACGCTGTTAATGCACTGCTCCAGTTGGTGCTCCGACATCATATCGATTTCATCTCCCGACAATAGCCGACTGTGAAGCGTATCCAATCCAATTATACTAGCTGCAAAATAATGAAACCATATATAAGAAAATTCGTGTAATCGTCGAAAAAAATGTGTATCCATTATATAAGAAATGCATTAATAAATCTCTCTCTTTATATACAATGTATATTACATTATTCATTTATGTACCTATTGCAGCTGCAGTTTCCTTGGCATCACCAGTCACCATTATCACTTTAACGCCACTATTTATCAAGATGCTGATAGATTCGCGTACGTGAGGTCTCGGTGGATCGCAAATACCAACCAGACCGACGTAAATCAGATCTTGTAACGAGGAGCCACGTGCCAAACCAATTACTGCAAGTACAAATTTGTATGCGTATAAGTTATAGAAAAATATAAATGTAAATTTCTAAAAAAAAATGTTTTCGATATCTATTATTTTACAAAAAGATGATACTACCTCTCAATCCTTGTTGACCGATATCATACGCTTCCGTCAAGAACTCTTGATCTTTCTTCTGGCTAAGGGGATACACCTGACCATTTTCGTAATATTTTGTACATTGCGGCAGGATCTTTTCCAAAGCACCTTTCACAAAGTATGTTTCTTGCCTATTCTGAAATCGTATAGAATTGATACTTGATATTTTCCAAAAATAGGAACCTAGTTATTCTGATTACGATCAGAAAGATTGCAGTCTTCTGGTTTAAACTTACCTCGCCAAATCTTGGCGTGCATTTCACAGCCATCATCTTTTGCTCAGAAGAAAACGGATACTCTTGCAGTCGGAGATACTTGTCGGCGACGCCATACATTCCAAATTTCATCGCCACGGCTAAAAGCGCGCCTTCCGTCGGTTGTCCGAGCAGAGTATCATTTTGTATGATCGCATTATTGCATACGCTACCGACTTCCAGCATGTTACTGATAGCGGCACGAGCGAGATCTATATTGTCGCATTTCCGTATGCGTACTTCACCCACGTCGTTGTATCCTGCTCCGGTAACATCCGCGATATAACCTTCGGACGTCACGAGAATCGTAGCGGTCATCTCGTTCTTTGTGATAGTACCGGTTTTATCAGAACATATTACGTTTACACAGCCTAAAAATAAAATAAATTTCTCTCTACACGTTTGAAATTTTATACAAGTCGGTAAGAAGATATAGTTTAATTATTTAAGATTATAATAAAATAACTTTTCAAGTATTAGTGTTTCGAACTGTCTTACCGAGAGTCTCAACAGTTGGCAATTTCTTGACAATAGCTTTTCTCTTGACCATTCTCATTACTCCCAACGCCAGGGTCACAGTCACAACGATTGGCAAACCCTCCGGTATAGCTGCCACTGCCAAGCTTACACCAATGGTAAACATCTCAAGGATAGCCTTACCTTGGATCCAGCCCAGTAGCATAATGATACCAATAATGCAGAACGAATAGAAGGACAGCTGTGTACCTAAAATGTCCATGCTTCGCTGTAGTGGAGTCTTTGGCGCCTCCTCGGCCTGCATCATCGAGAAAACCTCCCCAAATTCACTCTTTTCTCCCGTATTCACTACAATTCCCTGTATCGCGCGATATCGTAACATAAGTTGATGGTAGAGCGCAGTCGTACCGTCGTAATAGACTTTAGATTTAACTTGATTAGATTTACCTTGCCATTCCCACAGCGTACTAAAGTGCCCATGAAGGCAATGTTTCTTTTTGACGTCAACCCATTGGTCTTGAGAAGAGGAGCCGTCGATTTTTGCGCTGGCTCGGTCTCCCCAGTGAAACTACTTTCGTCGATCGCCAAATCTGTGGCTTCGAATATTCTGATATCGGCAGGTACTCTGTCACCAATATTTAAATACACTATATCGCCAGGAACTAGATTACGCGCCAGAAACGTCTCTACGCGTTCCTCTCTTAAGCTGGAAGCAAAATGTATGAAATAAAATGACAAATGTAAAAATAATATTAAATGTAGTAAAAAGTAAAATATTTAAAAAATCTTTAGCAAACAAAAAAGTAAACATTTTTCAGCAAACAAGTCTCTTGTATTGTCTTTCTTATTTGAAATTTCTTTTATTTAAAATATGGAACTTTATACGCGAGATATTTTATGAAAATAAATTTCACCTTCTAAACACACAGTTTGCAATTTGACATATTGTATCTTCTTTACTTTAACAGGAATTAAAGAGAATGAATGCTCCATATATAAAGGGTTATCCTCCAATGACCATATTATATTTCTAAAGAATACTGTGAGTTTAAATACATGCTGTCTGTGACTATATATTTAGTATTATCGTTAGTAAAACATTAATTATAGAAAATAATAAAGCATTAATTAAGAAATTTGTGAGTCTATTTACCAGTGGCATATTGGTGGTACTAGTTTATTCAATTCTTCTAAAGATTTCTCAGATCGGTATTCTTGTACAAATGCAACTGTCACCACTATTATGATAGCCTACAAAAAAATTACAATATAAGCAGTAGTTAAACGTTTGCTAAAGTTCTTAAAAAAGAACACAGATTAATGAAATATTTAAAGATACTTACCACAGTAATACTGACAGCATCGTCGAATTGTTTCATACATACACTGACAAATGCCGAGGCGAGTAAGAGAAGAATCAATGGATTCTTGAACTGAAGAAGAAAGAAAAGTTATATAAATTTGACAAAAAAATTCATTTAGATTATATTCTTCCCAAATTATAATCATCTTCATATTGCAAACAAGCAAATAGGGATGTAAACCATACCTGTTCGATATATTTTTTCCATGGTGGATCTTCCTCCTTTACAGTAAACTCATTAAAACCTATCAACTGTCTTCTATGATCGGACTCCTGCCATCTGAGTCCTGTTCGCACATCAACGTGCAATCTAGCTGCCACCTCCTCTGCCCCGAGACTAGCTGATTCAGCAGTGGTCAACCACATCTCGGGGTCCTTACCCTTATGAAATATATTAAACGTTTGTCAGTAAAATATTAAACATATGTTGAAAAGGTATTAAACAAAAAAAACTTCACGCTTAGAATGGAAATGTTAAAAGACTACATATCAAATAATACAAGACTGGAACAATGGATGATTCATTTTAAATTATAATATATTATAAACATATGTGTAATGCGATTATTTTTTTATCTTTGTCGATAACGAAATTTTTTGAAAATTAGCGCGTTATCTCATTGTTATAATTGCAGAAGTGTCACATGTGCACATGCATACTGTCAAAATCGCGAAAAAAAAGAGAAAATAATAGGACACACAAGAATGAAAACAGGAAAATGATGACACTTGGCTTAAAATATCTGATTGTAATGTATTATAAATATCGAGGATATTGCGACGAAATCGCTTATACACTAACCTCACAGCGGCGGTTCGGTCTTTGGACGCATTTTTTTCGATAAATATATCGGAATTATTATGATTATATTATTCGCGCGCGTCACTTACGGAAGACATCGATAAAAAACGACATATCAAATAAGAGGGAAAGTGCAACAACAGTGTAAAATTGCGAGCGGACACCGCGTAAAAGGATTACATCGCGCCACTCGTGACACTCTACGTGTCTGACATGTGCGTATGTGTGTAATGTGCATATGTGTATGTGTGGCTGGGAATTCGGCGGCGTCGAATCGATAAACTATCGAAATCATGTGTCAGGAACAGCGGGATTTTATAAATAGTCGGTCAGCCTTTCTATCGGTTTTTCTGCTCGCTCGTTATTAATTAATTTAATTCCAATTCCATTTTCCAAATAAAATTAATCGGAAAAACATGTGTGCTTATATGCTTATACAGGGTGCCCCAAAAGTCCTACAACAGTTAAATATCTTGAATACAAAAAAGGCTTTTTGAACTATTTCAAAAAAATATAAAGCAAAAAAATAAGTTGTATGTAATTAAGGCTTTAAATGATGCTTTTAAGTAGTAATAATTGTATGACTATAATAAGCATTGTTAAGATCACGTAAAATTTATTGATTTTGAAATTTTTGAAGTAGAAACTTCTGTTGTAAGAAATAAGTCGAACTTTAAAAGCATTTTTTATTCACTTTAAGAATGAAAAAAATGCCATATGTGAATCCGGAAACACTTCCTTTTTCTGAATTATAAATAACTTTTTAACATATGTCTTGCGTCATAGATTATAGATATGTCTTATGGATTGTTCTATTTATTTTTTATTAAAAGGAAACAATACTCTCCCGATTTAAACTCTTGGCATGTTTATTTTTACATCTTAAGAATCTCGATTGTTTATTAGTCTTGTAGCTACTGCAAAAGTATTTCGAAATCGTATTATGACAAAAGATGAAATACTCCGAAAAGTTATCATTTTTAGCAATTTTTAAAATAAATTGTTCTCTCCGAATAAAAAGTAAAAATATTTAATAATTTGGAAATAAAACATTTTTTCGCAATCACTAAAAAATTTGTAAACTTGACTAAACTTTTCAACTAAATATTATTTTGTTAATTAAACATATAAAAATATTTAAATTATAAATATAATATATTAAATCTAACAAAACATACATTTAACTTAAATACTATATAATGTGTGTTAATTAATAAAAATGTAATTTAGTTTAGTTAACAAATTTTTTTTCAGTGCACCATTTTTCATACTTTTTCAGCTTTATTATAATGAATAGAAAATGCTTTTAAAATTTGACCATTTATTTCTGGAACACCCTGTATATACACCTGTATTTGTATACCAGTGATTCTCAAATTTTTTTATACGTGAAATTTTATGAAAAATAATAAAATATATATTATCCGCAAAAAGAGTAATGAATTTAAGGGAATTCGCGAACTGAAAATGACTGATAAAACGATGCTATTTATGTTTCACTTTGATTTATCGCGAGTATCAGTTCATGTTCGTGACTTTATTACGAGTTTACAAAGTGTATATAGTTACATTTAAAACACGATATGAAATGTTCGTTTCGACTTTGAAGGGAGAAGAAGACGTGCTAATTAAGGCAAACGGATTTATTGTCGTTTTAGCAGATTTCCAAAGTGTTCGACGCTGATTTTATTTGCCGCACAATATATAAACGATTATATCATTTCTTATTATGCGGATGCTGTTGGAACTGTTACAGTTTGCACGAACTATTAGTAATGCTCTCATTTTCACGTCCTTGTACATATGAGTAACACATACGAGTTTCACTTATATGTACCTGCATTATGTATGTCATAAAAACCCGATAATCGTCTCGATTAAAGAGATATATCGATCGCTTGGAAAATGTATGATCGGTAATTCCTTTTAAATTAATTTCCCTTTTTTTAAAATTAATTTCTTGTTACAAATTCACATTTTATTCGTTATATTTTAAAGTCTTCTCATTAAAATTTTCTTACGATTCGGATATACGAGCTGGTTTGATATTAAATCTGTCGATCAATATATTGAAACATTTCAACACGTGCTACTTTAGCGAACTTTGACCCTTTCCCCTTTTCCGACGACGACATCTATCATATTACTTTTACTAAATATATGCAAATTCGATTATAATTATTTATTCAGAATCTGATTGATTCGCGACAAGATTCCTCTAATTTGATTTTATCAAATTAATTCATGTATATACAAAAATATATATACTATAGAGAATAATGAATAAAAACAATTCTTCCTTATCTAATTTTTTTTTCGAGAGAATTAGAATTAAATGTATATAATTACAAAGAATTAAAATTAATGTATAATTACATATGCAGAAAAAAAAATACATGTACATTAAAAAAAATTACGTACCTAGATTTTTTGTTTTGAAAATGACATTTTTTGCGAATAATAATTTCTTCATAAATATAAAAAATGTAAATTTTATTCTCAATACTTTTTTCTTTCTGTGTACGTGACTGTATATATTTGAACCTTTTTTTCTCGAAAAAATTTATATAAGTATGTATAAGATATTTTACATATAAATTTTTACAGTTTTACATTAAAAATTTTATATTATATGTATTGTTCCTCTCTGCTCTCTACATAGAGAATTTACTTTGCAAATTATGGTAATCATGGGACAATATGGACTATATATTGAAAGAATTTTATAAGAATTTCTCTGATTAATATTTTTTTTAGCACAATAAAAAATATTAATAATCTACCCACAATAAGATATAAAATATGATTAATATTTTACTATGTACACAGTAAAACATATATTTTTTTTAATTTACTATGCACATATATTAATTTTTTTACTATATATGTACATTAATATTTTTTTATTGTGGTCCTCAGAGAACTCTTATAAATTCTTCTCATATTGTCCCACAATTACCATGGTTTTCAGAGGATATAAATTCTAAGAGAAAGTTCTGTCCATGTATAGGGTCCGCGAAATTCCGAATTCACGTGACTGGGCTCACCTCGTCGTCAGTGTCGCATTCTCGTTGCGCTCCTCTTTCTCGTCGTTGCGGATCTCGAGGCCGGCGTCGTCCAAGAGCTGCTCGTACTTGGCCTGGTTACCGGTGTCTCTCATCGCGGAAATGAACGGCCTTCTTCACCGGCACCACCTGTCGCGATGAGATTCCGCGAGGTCCTCTCCCAGGAAGAGCGACAGGAAGGGAGAATGCACGACCCCGACGAGAGATCGTGGGGATGGAAAACACCAGCTGACCCGACACCGCCGAAATCACGGTGCGCTATCGATTCGCGTACTCTCTCTCTCTCTCTCTTCTCTCCTCTTCTCTCTCTGTCTCTCTCTTCTAGTCCGGTTCGCCAGGGAAAACGGTGCGGCGCATCGTCTTCCTCTCCCGAGTGTGTCACTGTATATAAACCAAACGAAACACAGAGTTATTTCTCAGTACACGTGATCACCATCTCTCATCGGCCACCCCCTCCGGTTCTGTCAAAGCGCGATTTCCAGTCACGCGAAGGCTAAAGGAAACGGATCTCGCGTGAATTTTCAGCGGACTTGCTTTGCGAATTGATATCTGTCAACGCGATAGAGTATTTTATTTTGCTTTTTTCTTTCAGTGATCATTTGCATTTTATCTATCGCGCGAAAAAACAGCTTTTTATCTTTTCCTCGCTCGCTATTTAAAAGCGAAACTCATCCTTGACAACAATTGTTTAGAGACTAAATAAATTCTTAGTTTTTAATTCTTTTTTTTAATTTTTCATTATGGTTTAATAATGAATACAATTTAAAAAAAATGATGAATATAATTTTGGGAATCATATATATAACCCACCTATTTATCATCATTAATCCTCCTGTAATTATGTTTTTTAAGCTAAGGATTCCAATCGACCCTTGTTCGCCCCTCTACATAGACGCGCAATTTGAAATTAAATACTGGCAGAGCCGAGGTATTTTAGGCGACTACAAGATTAAGTCGCTCTTTTGTCAAGAGCAAACTCGAGGATCGTACAATTTTTTCCGAGAAATGGCGAAACGAAAAAAAATTAATGCTAAATCAATATACATCAAACTGACATAAATGTCAAAGTGTTTAAATAGATTTCAGAAATTATGTCAGTAATGGCGATTAGCATTTCACATTAATGGATTTTTTTAACATTCTAAAAATTAATAGAGAGTAGAATAAAAAATAGCTGACTTGTGCTAAAGCATCTATCTTGATAATTTATGAAAGGCAAGGACGCGCTTGAAATGTTTAAGCACACGTTATCGATCACAAGCCAACTGATGCCTGTGTTTGCGAGTTGGCTGTTAAACAGTTCGTTGTTTTTATTCTGTCTTACGAACCTCAAATTATGATAACTATAGAATTTCTTTCGAAGAAACTATACTTCATAAAATTAATTTCGTCCTTGAAAGAACGAGAATGATATACTGCCGGTGCGAATATTTTTTTTATACATTAAGTATGAATCATTCTGTTAAACAGCAGTTGCATCGAATGAATATTTGTGTAATATCTCGAAACGAGAGATTACGAGGAAACGGGAATTACTTATCAACTCCCGTTTATCGTTGCATTGATAATAAAATGTAATATAGATATCGAAAATTTTCTTCCTTTTCCTCTTTTTCTCCCTCTTTTATATTTATACTATTAAAGTTAATTACGATTATATAATTACGATATATATAGTTTGTTGGATAAATTATATCAACACACACACACACACACAACCAAACACTATTTATTAACATTGACTATCTTAATTCACGCGTTTATCTATAATTTATTCTAAACAAATAATCAAGTTTTATAGATTTACACAATAAAAAAAGTTGTTAACTTGATTAAACCTTTTAACTAGATATTATTTTGTTAATTAAACGTATAAAAATATTTAAATTAAATATAACATATTAAATCTAACAAAACATATTTGACTTAAATATATACTAATATATGTTCAATTAACAAAATAGTAATTTAGTTGAAAGTTTAGTCAAGTTAACACATTTTTTTCAGTGAATATAAGCTGATTTGGAATTCACGTCTCTCGTATTTCAGTTATTTTGCACATAACTTTCTTTTATTTCAATAAATATATACACGGAGAAAATTTTCTCTTATTGTTAGAATCTACCATAAAAATCATGATAATCGTATGAGACAATATGGTATTGGAAGAATTTTATGAGTTTCTCTGATATTAAAACTAAATATTTCATTAGAGAAACTCGTATTAAATTATTTTCAATTACCATAATTTTCAGGATAAATTCTAAGAGAAAATTCTCTCTGTGTACCTATATAATGAAATTGATCAAACATGCACACACATATCTAAAGTACATGGGCGCCCGCAGGATTTTTTCCAGAAGGAGGCATAATTAATTTTTTTTTTAATTTTTGTTCTTTCTTCATTTTTTTAAATTTATTTTTGTTATTTCATTTTATCTTTATTTTGTTATATTACACATTCAAATAAATTTTAGTGTTTCTTCAAATGCTCCCTCTTGCTCCCCCTCTGCGGACGTCTATGTTAAAGTATGACACATTAACTTTATCTTAAAAGATGCACATGATTCAAACATGCACTTTATTGATCTTCTTAATCGAAACAACATTTATACATAGTGTTTGCTGTTATGCTGTTAAATAAATTATATAGATGATCATCTAGATATGAAACTTTGACGTCATCTTATCTTTATATATAGATAATAAAAATATGTATTATCTGTATCTGCATCTTATTGTTAGATGAAAAAAAGTATTATCTTTACTAAATTAACTATAGAATAATTTTCAGATAATTTTGATTTAGAATCATAGCACATAAAAATACTTAAATAATAGAACTTAAGCATAGTAAGCGATAAAAATTTATAAATAAAAGTATGAATGCATATATTTTTATATCCCTTTTATAATTTACATTTTTTTATAACTGTATTTACATAAGCAGTCTTAAAAATGATTTAGAAAATTATCTAGATGAATTGCTATATAATTTTATCTTTTATCTATAGATATATTTAAAACAAATCATCTTCATCTTATCTAACAATAAGATGAATTTAAATATTTTCATCTTGCTTTATCTAGCTAATTTTTAAATTATCTAAAAGTACAACACTATTTATACATCACGTTTGATAACGTTGTAGTAGGTAGTTCGAATGGGTGTGCTTTAAAGAAAACAATGACCCCATAGTATCGGTGCAATGAATATAGCAACAGTTTGATCGCTCTATTAGAGCTCCTTGCATCGTTATATTGCCATAGCAGTCGCATTGTAACTACGTAAAAATCTTAATTAAAGCATATCATACCCCATAGAAATCTATTGAGTTACAAATAAAAATATTGAAACATAAATAGAAATAAAAATACACGTCAAAGACATAAAAAAACGATCGATTCGAAATCCTTCGATGAGAAATGTCGAAAAAAATATTGATCGAAATTTTTATTTTCATTTATTTTAAATTTTATTTATATCTCCTCTATATATATATGTACGTCACTTTTATACTTGTTTCGAAAGAAAAGATCAAAAGAATTAATTGCAATTGCGTAACAAAAAGATACTAAAAGTTTCTATAGATCTTCTTTTCAACGCTGACAGTTGTTAATTAACAGACAGTAATAAATTAATCATGTGTCTGTTTTGTTTTAGATCATATCTGTAATACAAGGACGGCGAACACTTTTAATTTAATTACGCTCGGTGATGTAATTGATGTATAAAAGGTATGTATCCTTTGAAATCCATAAATAAAAATAAAATTCTTAGAAAAGAGAGTGAGATATATAGATCTCGTGTCAAAAGTAGAGTAATAGATCAATTCTTATCTCCGGGTATTCGACTGTTTCGAGAAACCGAACCAGAGCAAGATACCTGATTAAGAGGACAACACGCGGTCGATGTGTTGTCACGCGAGCCGGTCAGCGAATACACACCTGACACATATACAGCATATGTATATAAGTGTGCGATTACACTTGCTTTTCCTCCCCGAGAAGGTAAAAAAATCAATAACTCGGCCGCGCAACGTACATATGTACACGTAACTCTGTATACATACGTACCTATATATACGTGTATATATATGTCGCTCGATGATCCGCGAATGAATCGCTCTGAAAACGTCGGTGCTCGTGAAGAAACAATAACAGTGGTAGATAGCTCCCACGGTTGTGTGTGGCCGAAGTCCCCGGATTCGATGTTTTTTCTCTCTCGCTCCCGGTCCGAGATTCAATTTTAAAAATATACGTTATTCACACGCGTATTCCCTTCCTCTCTCGTTTATTCCAAGCGTGTCGTTCTCGTCCGCGAACAAGACCGGCGCAGATACACGCGAATCCGGCCACGGTCCACTTTCGTCTGCTCGCCCCGTCCTCGTCGTAGCGAATCAACACTTGCCGGTTCACTCGCGGACGGACGGAAGAGGTCGATCGACCCCGACCTGCCCCGACCGGCCGAGAGACCTCCTCCCCACGGCGGAAACCGAACTGAGCCGAGGCGAGCCGAGCGCGCGCGCGCTTGTCTCTCGACGTCAGCGCCAGTTGACAGCTGACGGACGGTGAACTGTCAAACTATATCGATGTATCGATAATAACAGCCGGTATTATCGATGTGTGTAAATAAACTTTCTCAATCAAATATGCGATTATTTTGTAATTTATAGCATCGAATCCAAGTAAGGTGAGAGAAGAAAAATAAGGAATTGAAGGGAGTTTATTCATTTTTAGACGAATCAATCTCGATAAATCATAATTACTAAAAATATGAAAGCGCGAATGACATTGGTTTTCTAACCTCTAAATGTATACGCATTGCATAGAAATTTGAATAATAGTGAGATATATTTAGATATTAAGATTAAAATTATTTTTAACTTTACCATTAAGAAGATTTGGAAAAGTTATATAATTAAATAATTAAGAAATAATTGGTATTAGAACCGAGTCGTCATATAACCTCAATACAAGGTCGAAGACGTATTTCACTAACTGGTGAAAATAATTAAAAGAAAAATACTTGTTATATAGCAGTACAGATATATCGCCGACGATAGGGTATTAAATCGTGCGCCTCAAAATAATCTCTGATGTCGAGGAGGAAACAGCTGACGGACAACAATGCGTTGCCGTGCGAGATGATTTGTCCACCACCGGAGGAATTGAGCGTGATAAACAACAATGTCAAGTGTGAACAGTGCAGCCTCGTCTTCGCGAACGTATCGCGTTATCGGTTGCACAATCTCAAGGTGCACCAGCGTAAGAAATTGGATAAAATCGCGAAGGAGAACGTGCGCTACCACTGTCCAGTACAGTCATGTGTCTACGCTGTCAATTCTCAGAGATACTTTAGCACCATGAAGTACCTAAAGCAAGTGTGTATGATGTATATTTATAACTGCTTAATAAAAAAAAAATAATTCATATTAGATTAAGAAATGAGAAAGTAATAAAGCGAATTATTCTTTCAGCATTATCTGAAAGTTCATGCGGAAAAAAATTACTTATGCGATCGCTGCAGTAAAAGTTTCTCCACCGAATCCATCAAGGAAGGACACATGAGGGTCTGTGGCATAGAGTTCAAGTGTTCTTGCTCAAAGATTTATACTACGTACGAAGCTCTGCTTACGCATGCAAAGCGATCCTTGCATACTATAACAGAGAAATATAAAAATTCATTAAAGTATGTTTGTTACATGTTTTCATGATGATTACTATAGTCTTAATCGATAAAAAGTTTACCAATATATCTTTAATATCTTGCAGACATAAGTCCAAAACGATACAACTTGTTCTATCGAGAAAAATTGTAAGCAAACCTGTTGCAATCCTACCTAATCTGGATAAATCTGAGAAAGATGGCAAAAATATAGGTACCACAGCGAAAAGCACCTCTGACATCGGCGTACAAACGGATGATTACAAGAGAAGCAGAAAGATACCAAGTCCATCGAAACTCAATAATAATAACTCGCATTGTAATGCGAGACGTCGAATATCCAAGCAAACGCAGACTAATAACTTAACTAAGGAAAGAGGTTTAGAAAATCAATGGAAACTCAAACTACGCAGGCGTCGCAAGCAAACAAAGACTCATCGAAGGTGTATAATCTCGGAAAGAAATATCGTCGCGCATTGTCGAAACAATCGGAACACATGTTGCTTAAGGAAGACCTCAATCTCGGCGACAACTTTACATCAACGAATTTATTCCCGGCTAGTCCGCTGCCTCTTTGCCACGATGTGGGTTTGCAAGATTTTTGGGAGAAAAATACGTCTGGCACACAAACGATACCGGAGAAAGACATGTTCGAGGCATTTAACGATAACGTAACTCAAACGGAATTCGAGACACTCTACGAGCATAGCCATAATCCTTTAATACAGTGTGTATCGAAGAGCACTGTGGCGCTGATGACATTGCCTTATGCCGAGGACGCGTCGACAGTCGTCGAGGGATATCCTTTCGCTTCGACCGACGGTATATCTCGAACGGATCCTATGTTGACCGCGAAGACGTTCGACGATAGATTTAGCAGCATAGAGACGCAAACCGAACAAGCCTTTTCGCCTTCGTACTTTTATTCCGACTCTTTATCGAGATCATTCACGTTAAGTTCGAATATCGAGACTCAAACTACAGATAACTTGGATAACATGGAGCAATTGTTGTATAGTAATACATGCACTCAGACTTGCAACGACATGCTGTCCTCTGATCTGGGACTGTCGAATATACAAACTCAGACCGCTTGGTCGCACGACGACACAACAGTTTCTACCGAGACCCAAACAAAATCTTTGATTTGCGGGACTGGTTGTAACATTTCCATAGGAGCCTGCAGATGGCTAAACACGCAAACAAGTCACACTGAGACACAAACCGATATACTTAGTATTTTTGAAGAATTTCAATAATTATGTTATTAATACTTAGCTTTTATTGCTCAACTTTCTTCTTTTGGCATTTGATTTTTATAGAATTTTTATCTCTGCTACTTCTTTTCTCAGATGTACATTATAAGTACAAAATTATTGAAATAATTTTGGCGATTCATTAATTTATTATATGCTTCATTGTTATATATCTCACACTCTTTTCATTGTTTTGCTACAAAAAAAAATATATGTTGAAATATTCATTTTTAATTTAATTTTCTTATGTTTAATAATTAAGATTTAATGTTGAGAAAGAAAGCTCTCGGGTTTTCTGGATTTTCTTATGAAACGATCTAGCAATCATACTATATATATATATATCTTAACTTTTTTATTTGAAGCTTATTTTTATGTAAAATGCCAAATAAAAAAGTTAACAAAGCAAGTATTATAAATGATTTTGATCTGCAATTGTACATATGTGTATTGTTATTCAACTCTTTTTAATACCAAAGTACATATATACGCATTTCGCACACATCTGAACATACTTTGCATGTGCATCTACACACGCAGTATCGATTAAAAATAAATATCGTACTGGAAATATATACATGTCATTGTATAATCTGTAACTTATCGATAAATTTATGGTCTATCAGAATCAGACTACCTGTACATCTGTTTCGTATTTCTATTTAAAGCCTCATGTATACACATACATGGTAAGAGGGTCGCTTGTCAAAAATATATTTTGGCTTTTACATCGGATGCTGTATTGCATAATGCATGCAAGAGATCACTTTTAGCGTTCTATCAACTTCTGCTTTGATAATATCACGTGAGATTTAGAGCATCTTTCAAATATATTTTTTTCCGTATTTTACGTACAATATATAACTAAAAAAATATATTTCTTTAATCACGAGAAAAGTCGCCGATATAATGTTATCTTTGCATCGTCATGGTGTCAAGTGAGTAGATTTTTGCACAAACTATCACAAGAATAAATATGTAAAAAATATATAATAAATATTTAAGAAATAGATTTGTATTTATACATACGCGGATTAAAAGTGATCTTGCATCAGAATATTCGTATGGACGACAGCAACAAAGGTGGTAATTTAAAATAACGAACGCACAGATAACAACAATCGAATAATGAGTAATGCGTTTCGTTGCGTTCGCAACGTTTGCTGCGCAATTATGTTGTCACTGTAATGATCAGTAGACACACAGCAAAATTATTACAATTGATGGAGTATATGAAAAAGTGATAAAATGGGATATATATATATATATATATCTATATATATAGAAAGAGAGAAAGAGTTATACTGCAGGACCGGCGGCATTCTCCTCGTCGGAATCAGGTAAAAAGTCTTTGGTCCAGTCTTCTATCCTATCCATATTTTCGAGGGTCGATGCAAGAACTCTCAGATTATCAACACCGGACATTAACTGTCTGTAAACAAAAAAAAAAGCAAATTGCATAATTCACTTAAATTTCTCACAAAAGCAATTGCAACTTTCAGTAAAAAAAATTAAGCGTATGCTCTCCTTTTGAATAGGATAGTTTGCATATCTAATATAAAAATGAAAATAACAAAAATTAAGAACAAAAAGATAAAAATAAAATTTAATCATGTTCCTCTGGAAAAAATCCTGTGGACACGCATGCACAGATAGTACTTTTTTCTAAATTATAATGATTATAAATTTTCTAAAATGAGAATTACTTTAATGAGTTAAGTAATTCGTTACCTAAGAGATACTTCAGCCGACGATGCAGCCGCGAATAGATCACGGAGAGTCTTCTTACATTGCGATTCGTCTTAGCAGTACCAGTATTAGATTCGCCTTGTCCAGCAGTCGAGGTGCCAGCTCGAAGTTTATCATTTTCTAATCGTAGTAAAGATATTTCTTCCTAAATTAAATAATTTGTACAAATCAATATGTTGATTTTACATTGATCGCACAGTACGTTAATGTTTTAATACTAACTGTTAAAGCTTTAATTTTCTTTTTCAGCGACGTGATAGTGGACGTTTCAGCATTAACCGCTCGCTTCTGCAATAATAAAATAATGTTAGACAAATAAATAAAAGAGTTTTATTATATATATTTTACACACATACACATTCGAATGTATGCATGTATATATGCATATAATGTAGAAGTCGCAATTTATATCTTACTTAAAATATAGACATATGTGTATATATTTACTGTATTTCGTTTTAAGTTATTTTCGAGTTGTTCCATCGCCTTTTCCAAGTGCGCTGTTTCCTCGTGTTCAATTTCCCTCTTAAACAGTAATTCTGCCTCCAATGAACGAATCCTGCAATTAACATGTAATTTATAATTAATGATAGTATATGATAATGATCAATAAATTCTATTTCAGCAAATTGCAATCACCTTTCAGTCTTCTCGCTTATTTGCCTTCGAGCTGTCTCTAATTGTTGATGTAACCTATCGTTTTCGAGTAAAAGCTGCAGAAAATGTAAATATATTTTTTCCATACAATAATTATACATTAAATTCTTTTGCTATAACAATCTTACTCTTCTTTCTGTGGATTCTGTCATACTCGCACCGTCAGATTCTGAGTCTGCAGATCTATTATATATAGGTCCATCGCTTAAGAAATCTGGCAAAGATTTATGAACAGTCGCTTCGTTTCCTGCCAGAGCACCGTCTCGCGTGGTCGCATTTCCATTGGAATTAGATTCGCCAAAAGGTAATGGTAAATCAAAAGGAAACCCTGTGCAGAAAATAGCTGTCATCTTCATGAACTTTACAGCAATATAATTTGACATAATATATTACATGTTGTATGCATATACATGCTATACCTCTGTGCTCAGGACGAGAAAGATAAGAGGTGTTCTCTTCGAGCCTGTCCCCAAACACAGGCAAGTCCAAGTGATTCGAATGCATAGCATTCGACCCAGAATGATCTCTGTGTGTTGAGTTTTTGTGCAACGTATCTGTGAGATCGAACGATCGTAGATCATCGCCAAAGATTTCAGGATCGTTTTTCTTGGTTTCATTTCGCAGTCGGGATTGCCTCTGTTCCACACTGTTCAACGTAAAATCCGGTAAATTATCCACGTCGGGCAATACAGGCTGAGCTGCTTCGTGGTTCAGATAACATTGTTCGATGACCAGATGATCCTGCACGAAATCCGGCAACTCCGTCGGGTTTCGAGCCGAATAAACATTTCCAGTGTTATCTTTATCAAAAACGCTGCCTGGACTCGATGTGGGGGACGAGTAGATCTTGGGTCGTGCTCCAGTGTTATGATAATTGGTCTGCTGGGTTCCGTTCTTCAAGAAGGCCTTGAAACTGAAGGGATTGCTGTCACGACGTGACGACGTATCCTGACCTGCAAACACAAATTTTCTTTTAGAGCATTTTCTCGATTCACTCTCGCATTTTTCTTCTATTTTGGATTAATGATTCCACTCATTCGGTCAGCAACTGATTTATTAGTTTATTAATTTCTTGTTCTTAATTTTCTTTAATTAAAATTGTACTGGATAAGATGATTGCAAGATGATTTCAATGTTTGTTGTTGGGTTTTTTCGGCTATGCAGATTCTTCTTAATAAAAGAGAATATTATATTTAATAATTTTAGGAGTAAGAGTTTTCAGGATCTCATTTATACTATGCAGTTGCTTATGGCAATATGCAGATCTGGTTCTTTTTAATAAAGAAAAATATTATAAATAATTCTACGAGTAGAAGTTTTCAGGATCTCATTTATATCATGCGGTTGCTGACAATCAATTATTACAGAGTGCGGCAGATGAAGGCAGGTCTACGGTCAGAAAATAAAGAACAAATCCAAATTCGAAGATGACAGGCTAATGAAAATAATCTATAAACCTAACCTGCCGCCTGGTCGACGGGCCGACTCCTGTCGGACGTCGGCGACAGCCGGTTGTTCCTGGACGGGTCCCGGCAGCGGACCGTCACCCTCTCCTCGTCGGACGACGTGGACATCGAGCATACGACGTCGTTCCTGTGGCATGCTGGCTCGTCGGCGGCGACCGCGGTCCCAGCGACGTCGTCCTCGTCGGACGACGACGAACACAAGTGGCGCATCAACAACGATCTGACGTACGAGTCGTCGATTACCTTACGCTCGCGGCTCGCCATAATTCACGCGCGAACCATTCACCGCTCGCTAAACTTGACCTCTCCTCTCGGCGAGGTCTTCACGTCCGTCACCCTGTCGCCTCTTCTGCTTCTGCGAACACTGCTGATCGCAGTGTCGGGTAAGGTTGGCTTTATGATCCTCATTTAGACATAAATAAATATAGATATATCGCGGTCGAACTATAGTTTCATCTATTTTTTTTTCCAAAGTGAAATTGGAGTATATTTAGAGGGGCCTTGAAGAAGACGCAGAAGTGACGTACCAAATGAACGGAGCGTCCTTCTTTCTTTCTCGTCCACTTTGACATATATGTATATGTACGCGTGTATACATGTGTTGCCTGCATGCGCAGAATGGATCTTCCGCCTGCGGTCGTTATACGATTTATTTTGGTTGTCGGTGTTTTGCTGCGCACGTGTCGATGAATTTCTCTCGCGTGAGTACATAATTGACTCTTTGGATTAAAATTGAGGGGAGATTATGGATTAATCTCTCTGCACGTAATATTCTGCAAGTTTGACATCTACTGGACATTTTGCCTTTGGATCTCTATTGTCAATTTTTGATCACTGAAAAAATGGTAAATATTAATTTTTCCTTACATTTTCAGTCATATCAATAATTTATAAAGAGGAAAGCGTTTTAATAATAAGGATAATTTTGAGGTAGGTACAGAATAATATATTTGCTTTGTCTGTTATAGTCCAATACCTACTGCATCTGTTGTAAACAATTGTCTAATGATAATCACAGAGATATATTTGATGAGAATTTGTTGATCGAGTCACAGGAAAATAATGCAAACAAGGAATTTGATAAATGCATGATACTAAAAGAGGCTGTCGAATTAATTACTGGATATGTGGTGAGTATTGTATATGATAATTTATATGCATTATATGATACATATGTTTATGTAATAATTTAATGGTTTTTTTCCATTTTCAGATATCAAAAGTAAATAATGCAGTTTTGTGCAAAATATGCTTCAAAAAGGTAGAATCTTATATAAAATTTCGATCTCAACTCATCATATCATTTGGAAGATCCAATAATACCCAAGTTTCAAACATCAATTTGTCAAATTCTACAAGTATGAAAATTACAGAAACTTTAAACACGCAAACCACCAACACAGGTTTGTTTATAATAATTCAAGTATTGTAGATATAAATAGGAATTATTAATTATATAACAAATTTTAGGAACAGAAGTATTAAAGGGAATAACAAATGAGAATAATGTACTTACAAACTCTGGTGACTCGTCAAACAGTGGATTTGAGATTAATGACTCCTCAACTTATTGTAATGAACTGCCAAACTTTCAATCTGACATTTCTGATTCCACCAGTGATTTTGATAATACTTCAAGTGTTGATACATCTGATCCCAAGATCGAAAAAGCGATATAGAGTCAGATGTAAATGTGTGCTCCGGCGAAGACAGTGATGATGTATTAGAATTAGCTGTCCAATATAAACATAACGATACTATCAGTACCAGTCTGATTGAATCCGAGGAAGATTATGATTATGGACCGACTGTCAAGAAATTTAAAATTTCGTGTTTTTAAACAAATTTTATTCCAATTTTTTAAGTTAATATAAGTTATATAAGTGCAGAAACTGTATAATATAAATATAATATATATATAATAGTATGAGTCTTCATGTTTATCACTCTCTTTAATCTCTTAAACAAAAAAATGAGGTAGATAACAAACATATATATTATAACAAAATTACTGATATAAATTCTGTTCAATTCACTCACAAAAGTTATTTCTATTAAGAATAAAAATACATAAACTTTTTAAGTTAAGGATATTTCAAATATAATAAAAATTGTAGCATTGTTAAAATAAAAGATGAAAAGTTTGCTGAACGATAGGCAACTGCTCTAATATTTATTTTATATCTTGTATCGAGAATATATCTTTTTATTTAACATATAAGTTTATTATACAACATACATATTTTACAAAAAATGTGAATCACAAAACTCAAATGTTGACCAGTTCATACAACTGGCCCATTAGCTCAGTTGGTTAGAGCGTCGTGCTAATAACGCGAAGGTCGCGGGTTCGATCCCCTCATGGGCCAAATTTTTTTTTCCAAATACAACACATGAATCTATTAAATTCATTATCAAATAAAAAAAAATTATCTCTTAAAAAGATTGTAATTAATTTTAAAAAATCTAAAAATATAATATATTTTCTTTTCGACGATTGCGACACATTTGTTTTATGTGCAAATATACTTACCACAGATAGCATTTGTTAATCATAATTTTTATTCTCAAAAGAATAGATATAACTCCTTTCGTGTAACAACAAAAGTGGCATTGCGCCAGGCCTATAATAATAGAGAGAAAAACGAAAAAAGATGAAAATTGAAGGAGGAGAGGCTCTATTCTTGAATTTATTCGCAAGAGAAACGTACGCGTAAATTCAGTTCTGACAGAAAAGTTGCAAGTTGATTGGCTAAAAATCATGCAATAGACAATCAACTTGCAATTTTGTCTGTAAGAACTAAATTTACATATACATTTATTTCTCTTCCGAATAAATCCAAGAATAGAGCCGCAGAAGGCTGACAAGAGAATCTACATTATCGATCGTATGAACTGTCAACGCCTTGAGATTAAAATATCCGCCGCCAGGTGGCGGAGTGACAGCTGAGAGAGCGGGCCGTTGCGTCAGTTCGTCCACTCGGCAGGATAAAGAAAGAAATTGACATTTTCCATAATTCATCGTTTATTCCCGAAGAAGAGCCAACCGCGCGTCTCTCCGGCGAGCGTTCTCCCTTCTCTCGATCCCGGGGAAGCGTCGCGGAGGTACGAACTCTCTTCCTCGTTTGGTTACCCTCGCACCGGAGCAACATCTGCCGACATAACCGGACGTAACCGCTGCATCGATCCGATACAACACCGCTCCCTAACCTGCACCCGCTCTCGCGTTGATTCTGTCAGCTCGCGATCATCGGCGAGTCCCGGTCATCGCGATTGCCCAGTGTGAGGTAAGAGCAGATTGCACGTGCAAGTTGAGAGATCGGTAAAAGAAAAAAAGAATAACGAAAATGGAGTGCGCTCCGATACGCGCGAAAATTGCACGTGCAACGCCCGGACTCCCGGAGCGAAGCTACTCCTCGCCGTGAGAAATAAAATAATGCTCTGTCGAATGTCGTTGTCGCTCCTGGGCTTCCTCCGCAGTGCTGGCCACGGGGTGGACCACCGATGTCTTGCAGAGGGGCCGTCGTCGCTTGCGCGTCAGGACGACGCAGTCGTGGGAAGATCGAGGGAACGGAATACGCGTCCCCCGACGCGCTCTTCGCTTCGTCGAAGACAGAGGGGATTGGTAAGAGGGACAGAACTGACAGAAGAAGCAGGAAAACCGAGGCCTGGCACCAGACGATGGTCAACAAGAACACCGACGTCGTCGAGACGGTAGCCGATTTTGAGAAATGGCTCAAGATGCGCGGAACGGAGCAATCGGTTTCGTCGGGCATGGACCTGGACGCGGCCAAGGTGGTGGAGGGCGTAGACCGGTATTTGGGCGAGGAAGTACTGTCGCATGGTTACTTTCTGAGCAAGGATCCATATGGTTTGTCTATTGACATCGATCTGGCCGACGCCAAGAAGCTCAATCTGTCATCAGGCTACGATCCGATACTGCAGGATCTGACGCAGAGTGAGAATCGACTATTGGAACCTCCATGCGAGAAGGTCGTCGATGAGTTTATGCTGCCGGAATTTCAGTTGGATCATCTGGATTCACTCGCGGCGCTCTCTTCGGATGACATGATGGTGGCTGGGGAGATTCTGCCATCCACCAGCAGTCAGCCTATACTAAATCAAATAGAGAACCAAGATGTTGAACAAATTAATCCAAAAATGAAAATTCTAGAACGGAACAGTACTGACATACCTTGTGAGAAATCTACGCAGGTTGCCCTCAATGAAATACCAGTGAATTTAGGAGCCATCAACAAGATAGAGAGTGTAAAGTCAGAACAGGAAGCTACAATACAGTGTTCAGGAAGTCCTTCGGAACTCTTCATCGAGGCGTTATCACCAATGGAGGAGAACTTATCAAATTCCATAGAAGCGGATACTCAAAGTAGCATAATAGAACAATTGAAGTCGAAGACTAGGATGAAACTAGAACCGCGTATTATTAAAAAGCGTCGACAGATGACAGAGCAATTAGAGAAGAAACTAGATAAGCACATTAACGGAAAGAGTTTCAACGATGCAGATTCACAGGATGGCGTAATGGCTGTGGTTGCCATATCTACCGATAAAATATCCAATACGACGCAAATTGTCATCAACACCGGCACGGAGAAGCAGATCTATCAGGGCAAGACTTCGGAGCTGATCGAGGCAACAGGTAATTTTCCAAAGTTGCCCAAGATAGATACTTCTGCCGCGATCTGGAACGGTAACGTCGATAATCTTGATAATCCAAGTAACTCGTACGAAATTGTCATATCCAATGCGCTGGAGGAATTAGGCATCACCGATGACAGTCTGCAACCTGTAAGCGTTACCGAACACGACAAGGTATGGCTCTGTCCACGGGAAGGATGCAACAGACAGTTTGGCAGATTGTACACTTTGAAAGGCCACTTGTTGGGCCATTATGGAGTTAGACCATTTAAGGTACGTTAAAAAGTATTTTATATTTATCTTTATCCTCCAATTTCTTCACACTGACTACTTGAAAATTATTTATATTTTATTTTATTATATTTATTATATTAATTTTTGTATAAATTTAAAGATATAAGACAGGCAGTAAGAGCCAACTCGCGAATGACAGTGCGTTATCCTAACGAAACTAAATTTTTCGTTAGGATTAAGTATCTGTGCACAAGGCACCAAATATTTTACTTGATCACGGCCAAGATTTAAAATATGAAATAATCTCATATTTGAGATTTAATTTCAATAACCCTTTCACCCCCCTACGGAAATAAGTAAATGCAAGAGAAAAGTAGGGGGGTGAAAGGGTTATTGAAATTAAATCTCAAATATGAGATTATTTCATATTTTAAATCTTGGCCGTGACCAAGTAAAATATTTGGTGCCTTGTGCACAGATACTTAATCCTAACGAAAAATTTAGTTTAGTAGTCGTTAGGATAACGCACTGTCATCCGCGAGTTGGCTCTTACTGCCTGTCTTATATCTTTAAATTTATATTTAATTTTTGTGTATTTATTTATTTATTTTAATATACTTGTTTCATATATTTGATTATAATTATTTTATTATATATTATTATAATGAAAAAAGCGAAACTGGCAGATAAGAAATTGTGGAAGGACGTGTGTCAAGTGATATAAACCAAGTACCTTTCTTGGCGATATGCCGAAATGAATAAATATATCTAATTTATCTACATTTATTATAAATTATTACTAACTAGCTATTTTTTATAGTGCGACTTCGAAGGCTGCACTTGGGCTTTCTATTCCGAATTCAAACTGAAAAGACACAAGGAGACACATCTAAAGCGCAAGGATCATGTGTGCCAAGTGGAGGGTTGCAACCGTCGCTTTACCACCGTCTATAATCTATGGAGTCACGAGAAACTGCATAGTCGTCCGAACAGGATTGTTTGCCAGGTGCCGAACTGCGACGAAAAGTTTCAGACAAAGCGGGCACTGGAACTGCATATGAAATCGCACGATCAACGTCACGCGCCTTATGTTTGCCAACACGAAGGTTGCGGCAAACGTTATTACAGCAGTAACGCATTGACGTCACATCAGCGATCGCATAGCTACAAGGAAGTGGACATCAAGTGCTCGTGGCCAAACTGCGGCAAAGTTTTCGACAAACCGTGTCGACTCAAGGCTCACACGCGCTCACATACCGGCTGCAAACCTTACCACTGTACGTTTCAAGATTGCAAATGGGCATTTTCATCGTCCAGCAAGCTCAAGCGTCATCAGAAGAAGCATACGAACGAGCGCAAATTCATGTGCGACGCCCCGGACTGCGGCAAAGCTTTCATGCGCTCGGAACATTTAAAGGAGCATCGGCTGACGCATAAGGAAGGTCGTTTTTTTCAATGTTTCGTATGCGACGCCCGGTTCTCCGCCAAGAGCAGCCTGTACGTGCACATTAAGAAGCATCAACAGACCAAGACGGACATAAACATCGACAATATACCTTCAGAATTCGGCTATACTTCCGGCGATCAGAAAGGACGCACAAGGACGAAGGACTCTGATTGCTCGCGAGTGAAGCCGATGGTCAAGTCATCGAAACGAAAATCCACGGAACTAACAAATGCCATAGAATCTGTAATGAAGGAGAACGACGTCGAGAAATCGGATATGATATGTGACATCAGTTCCCAGAACTCTCAGGAGCCGGAATGGTTGTATCGTTGTCCGATCGAGCTCTGTGATTATCTGATTGGGAACGAGCCGAGTTTTCGCGAGCATCTATTGAAGATGCACAGTATACGTTGCAACGATTTGATGGATAAACCGTCCTCGGATAATTCCGACGTGGACTACATTCTGTACACGGTGCACGAGTCACCCTCGCCTACGTCACCCACCGTCATCGAGGAAGAACAGATGGTTATGGTGACAACACCCTGCGACACTGTTATTCTCGGCACCTCATCGTCAAACGCGGATCGTCAATGTCTACCGGACTCGGAACCGCCGTCTTTCAACACCTACTTAAGAGCTCGGAATCTCTGCACTCCGACGTGTGTGCTGAGCAAATTGACAAGGGAACTCTGTCGCTCAAGAAGGATCAGAGTTCTGCTAGGACAGATCTGACATATTCGGACTGGTCCAGACTGAAGAAAACGGCACGCTGATGGATTCGACAGCGACGAATACGTCGGATGTTGCGTTGAACGTGAGTAGCGATCTGAACGAGAGTTTATTGTTCACGGAGGAACTACCATCGATGTACTATCAGGACGATGTGGCAGGTACGGAGTATCAGGTGTTATTACTGGACTCGAGTCCGCTTGAGAGTGCTGTGAATTTGCGCGGTCTCGAATGACTTTCGTGATAAATGCGAGTGAGACTTGAATAACTTTTATCAAATATAACTTTTATGATAGGCGAATGTGATCGAATGACTGTTGTATGATCATTTTGTATGACACGACGAATATGATTCTTTGTTATTTTTAACGTAGCTTAAAATTGACACGATCGTTCTAAACCTAAATCAAGATGTGTGATTATTATATTAAACATAGCTTTTAAAAATGGTGACTCTAACACGATCTGTGATCTAGGAGCTGGCCTCAGCCTGATATCCATTTGTACTATTGCGGCTCATAATCGCTTTAAATCGTTATTTTATTAATAAATCGTTGATATTTTTCCATAAAAGTCATTACCTGCGTATTTTATTGTTATTGCTATCCGACGCGTGTAAGTCGCATATATTGTTTATAAATAATTTACTATTTTTTGACTTTTTTTCAACATTTTAATCTGTATTTTTTTCATACGCTTTTCATGTATCTATAAGATCTCTCTCGTACTCATTATTAGATACATTAATGACACCATATCGTGTGAGATTTGTCTGAGATTTATATGGTTTAATATTTTTTTTGAAACAGCGCTTATATATATATATATTTATAGTATATATACTATATATACAGGGTCGGGAAAATATATGGAAACTCTGAACAATCAATATATATAAGTTTTACAGAAAAATGTTTCATATAAGTTGTAGGGCTTAAAAAAACCTATTTACTAATCTTATCAGTTTGATCTTGAATGGCGTTGCCAAGATCGGGGCGTCATCTTGAATTTTTTAAATGGAACTCAAAACACTATAATAGACCTGGCAACGCCATTCAAGGTCAAACTGATAAGATTAGTAATAGATTTTTTTGAGCCCTACACTTTTTATACGAAACATTTTTTTGTAAAACTTATATTTTTCGAGATTTTTCAGGGTTTCCATACTTTTTCCCATTCTGTATATAATTATAAATATTATATATATTTATATATAATATTAAATTACCATACGATATATACCATAATATCAACTGATAATTTGCATCACATTGTAGTAACAATGAAAAAGAAAACAAATGCAATGTATAAGAGGAATGTGCATACATTAATAATTCTTCATTTCATGTTCCATTCGTGAAATTCATGTATATACGTATCGGCAATTGCGTTTGAAGAAAAGTATTTAGCCGTAACCAATGTAATCGATTTAATTTAATTTCATCGGTTTTTACAATATAGGGATAAATCATAAGTTTAGCCTGAAATTTATTATTCCAATAATTTTATTTTTAACAGAAAATGTTCACAACGCATCGCATTTATAAATGGTTTAAATGAAATTTATTGTTCCAAATTAACTAAACTTTTGTGCATACATGACTGAAGAATATGAACGAACGTTGAATTCTAAGAACATAAATCTTTCCATTTTTATGTCGACGATATACTAATGGAATATATATGCATGTATATATGTATAGCATATAATATATATATATATATATATATATATGCATTCATTTATTTTTACTTACAATTGTCTTAGATTCAACGATAATTCATTGAATTGAATTTCTAAATTTACGATAAGGATGAATTTATTTTAATTTGAGTATTTTCAAATCATGGTAAATAAAAAAAAATTGCAACTTCTGTAATCAATGCTCACGAAAATAATATGCAACCGCATTCGCGCTAATTTGAAATATCATAAAATGTTCGTGATTATTTCGGCGCATCAGTACTGAATGCGACGTGATTTTCACAGTTTTAAATATAAAAAGATGCGTTCACACAATATTTTATAACATTATAAAAATGCGAGACGAATGTCATATATAGCGTCAAATATGAAACGAAATCTTCATAAAAATGTTTACATACGATTTGAATGTACAAAATGCTTGCATATATAATCGATAATCTTGCCTTCTTCAGCAAGATGTTCACATTTAGTAAAAGGAAATACATATTTTCTATATTTACATGCATCTTTATCTTTTTGTATAAATAACACGCAGAAAATTTCATTGACTATAATACCGAGCGTTGACCAATTACAGTTTTTACGATAATTGTTACGCAATCTTATCATACTATGACTAACGTTTCTTGGAAATGTCGTCGAAGATAAGTTCACAAGAATCGCAAAAGGAATCACCTAATCCGATCACTCTCCTCAAATACCCTGTTAATATCCTACTAATATTTTATCGTTTGTCTACGAGCAAGATAGACGAGCTCAAGAAGTCACTCGCGAGGAATTCTCACGTCAGCTACACGAAAGCACACACAGAATTGAGACTTTTCCTTGTCAAATAGTCAATCCGTCCTACTAATGTCCCATACCCAGGTTAGAAGATACCTGACGGACAAAGATAATAACGTGTCTATGTTTTATTTCAATTTGTATTAATTAAACTACGTCCGCCTGCTTTTCTGGAAGCGGTTTGTCGTTCGTCGCATTAGTCTGTACGGATCTACCGACTTTCTTGGCGATCTTGTAGTAGACTCGATCCCTGACATCAGCCAGCATAGAGGTGACACAGTGGAGCACTGTAACGAATGTGCAACCACCGGCACAAACGAGCATCGTCCGCGTCGGTCGCTTCCAGTCGATGACCTTGTAATGTAGTGGTAGCCGTATTGTCGAGTCCCCCAGCGACGTAGTAGACCAACCGTGAAAATCACGTAGAAGACGGCGATCGACAGGCACCACCAGAAATTTCGCAAACGGAACGGTATACTGGTGACAACGAAGTCAACCAGCATCAACGCGCTATTGCATACGTGCATCATGATGTTGAGCGGGTCCAGGTGATGAATCTCCGGATTGTATACGGTGAGCCAGTAGCAGACGGTCACGGCGATTGCCAGATTAGTCGTGACGACATACAGGAACCAGTACAGTCGCTCGGTGAACTCCAACTTGAGGCCGCAAGGATCGAAGCCGGGTATCTTCTGTAGTCGCCAACGCTTCGACACGAGGATACCGCCGATCAGCGCCTGAGTAAAGCCCAACACCATGTCCCAGTTGGTCAGATAGATCGGCCATTTGTCGATCTGGAAGAGCGGTTGGTAGCTGCCGAACTCGAACACCGAACAAATCACGAAGCCGGTCCATACGAGGAAGATGATCCAGCGATAGAACAAGTACCAGGTGGCCACGTGCGACTGACATTTAGGTTCTGTCATTACACGTGCCTGCGGAGGCTGCTGCTTGCCCGCCTGCCGCCACCTGCGTCCGATCTATAGCACCAGAACTTGCTCACATTGCGCGGCGACCTGAAAGAAGGATCGAGAAGTATTATTATCTCAAGTCTGTTGTGCATCTTATTATTCTTACGTAATTCTAGAGTAAGTAAGAAAATCGTAGACTGTTCATATTTTTTCTTTAAAATTCGTTCCAACCCTAACAGCACACATATCCTGAAGACGTTCAGAGAACATTCTGAGGATGTTCGGATATCCTCTGAATGTCTTTCGGATTTGTGCTATATTAGGGAATTTACACTATAAAACACATAAAAGATCGGATTATTTACTCAGAATAAAAGTGCGTACTTGTTTTGGAAACAGTTTTGGAATCGAGTGAAAGGAATAATCACGCGTAAAAACGATAAGCTCGAGAGCAGATCGCAACTACTCTCTTGCGGCAAGTGCGACCAATATTTTACATCAGCAAAATGAATAAATTGCGGTAAGCGCGGTAATAAATGCTATGCGGAACGGAACATAATCCGGTAATTCCATGCCTTGATACATTTAATTATATGTCAAAAGCCGCTCGTGCATTGCTTCGTTTCCTTTCAGATGAACACGTGCGTAACACGATTATATTTCCGGTCGTCAGCAATGAATGCATTCGAATGGAGCACTATAAAAAATTCCATTAAGCATGGCATTTTTCCATGTATAATTTTTAATATATATTTAAATATTATATATATTTTTTTATTTATCAAGTTTTATATATATATTTTTTTAAATTTTAATTAATGAAAGGCTCGATAAATTAACAAATTAAACAAATCATATATAGTAGGCCAACTGAACGAGCAAATAAATAAGGTGTAAAATTTTTATTAATAGTTAAATAATTAAATTAACATTCCGTTACAGAATCGATATAAATTGTAAACGTTTCGACTGCACTACAGTCTTTATCAATACATAAAAGTTAAATATTAAAATACAAAGTTAAATGTTAAAAATACAAAGTTAGTTAAATTAAAATATAAAATTGAAACGATTCTTCGCTGTTGACCAATAAATATGCAAGGCGATTGGTCTGAGATGCCAAGTTATGCGACATTTGAGCATGCTACGGATATAATACGCGAATTTAAAAAATTTGCTGAATCATAATTTAGAAAAAACATTGGTAATAAATAAATACATCACGCTCTCTATTTTGACATTTGGTATTCAGACTTCGCAACACACACTTGAAATATCGAGGAAAAGGACTTGTTAAAACGATAATGTAAGTTGAAAGATTTTTTAATTTTCTCTGACATTGATTTAATTCGCGTATTATATCCGTAGCATGCTCAAATGTCGCATAACTTGGCATCTCATTGTCAGACCAATCGCCTTGCATATTTATTGGTCAACAGCGAAGAATCGTTTCAATTTTATATTTTAATATTTAACTAACTTTGTATTTTTAACATTTAACTTTGTATTTTAATATTTAACTTTTATGTATTGATAAAGACTGTAGTGCAGTCGAAACGTTTACAATTTATATCGATTCTGTAACGGAATGTTAATTTAATTATTTAACTATTAATAAAAATTTTACACCTTATTTATTTGCTCGTTCAGTTGGCCTACTATATATGATTTGTTTAATTTTTTTAAATTTTGTTTAGAGATTTTTAAAAATTAACCTTTCAGGTTTATTTAATGACATTGAACGATTTAATTATACGTATATATATATAAAATTGTAAAAGACCCGATTTTTTTGTTCAAGGTTAAGATTTTCATTTTCTTCAAGGTGCACACATGGTTTTGATTAAAAAAATTTTTATGTGATAAAGAAGCATTTTAAATATTTGTAAATTTGCATACACATAATTAGCAAATAAAATTTTACATTTCGCAAAATCACGTCGAGAATCTGGAGAATACCTGAATATTTGTTCATAAGACTTACATAACGAGCATTGTACAAAGAGCAATAGCAAACGTCTGAAGGATGACAGTCCTGTGAACGAGAGCACCATTCTCAAGAGTAATGAAGATTCGCGGTAAAGCGACAAGTATGTTGTTAAATCCATGGAACGGGCCGAAAAGATATCTAACCGTAACCTGACCTAACCTAACGTCATCCGCATCAGCTGTGACAGCCGTGGCGCTTGTTACGCAATCCGATTCGACGTGTCTGATTCAAGAACTAGATGCGCGAGCGCGCAAAGGTGCGTGGGCGCCATTTTAAAAATTTCCTACTCCGTGGGTGAGCTCGCGAAGAGTGTTGATACACCGTCTTAACATATTATTTTCTAATCATTTGTATGGACGAGACCCTCTTAACGAGGGCGAATCAGGTAATATACATCATTCTCGCATCCAGAATTCCCGAGTTTGCCGAATCTATTCATTATTGTAATTTACGACGAGCATCGTCGACAATGGTTCCATGTAACCTCTCTTTCTCGTAGGGCCGGTTTCAGTATCTTCGATTATCAATCTTAAGCGATCGATTTAAGAATTGTCAATATTATATAAATGTATAGAATATTAAGTTGATAAGTTATTAACAATTTTTGTATATTTAGTCGATCGTGAAACTGTGCATGGCCCTTTTAGATTATCAAATTATTAAGAACCTATTTCCAGATGGAGTTCGATCTCTATCGGATGAGAAGTGAGCGCACACAGAAGAGAAGAAAGAAAAAATTCGTCATTCCATAAGTAGCACTCTGCACAAATGGCGCGAGTGGGAGGCTTGAGAATAAGCTATATTTCGCGGAAGGAGCATCGCCGATCTTATCGAGGAACGATGCACGGTCACGTATTCGGGTGTTCGGGTCGTGTCGGGAGTACGGCGGATCGTCCTCCAGACACCGTCGTCGCGTCGCAGATGGTAAGTCACTTTGAACCAATTAACCCCCGTTGGTCCGCGCGCAGACGCCGAGGTTCACACGACTCTCGAGGCGTAACAGAGAGAGAGAGAGAGGGAAATCGGCGCTTGCATAGCGTGAGAGGTCGTGTCATCGCGGTCAATCAATCAGCCAATATTAATTCGCCGTTAATTTATTACAATCTTGGCCTATTACTACCGGTTGTACTCTGCAGCAGGTAGCCCTATAGATACCGCGACTATCTGTTGTCCTTCATTTCAGAAGATACTATCCTTTTTTTCAACAAGCTTTTATAGCTGCCCTTTACACGGAGAATTTTCTTTTAGAATTTATCCGGAAAATCATTGTATACTGATGATATTGAAAGAATTTTATAAGTTTCTCTCTAATATTTATATCACAATAAAAAATAATATATGCACATACTACATTTCATTATGTACATAGTAAAATTAATCGAACATATTTCATATCTTATTGTGGTAGATATTTATATTTTTTATTGTGATAAATATTAATCAGAGAAGTTTATAAAATTCTTTCAATATCATATTGTCTCATGATTTTTAGAGTAAATTCTAAGAGAGAAAATTCTCTCTCTGTGTGGATTTATTCATTTTTTCAAAACTTAATTTTGTTTTTTATATTCCAATTTTGTCCTTAATTTTTTACTTAGTATTTCTAATGTCATACTAACGTGCGAATTTTTACGAAAACAAGACATTAATTATTTTGTAATGAATTTTAAATTCATTTTTTGCTTGTCAATCTCTAGGATGTATTTGAATTTTGAATTTAGAGATGGGAACTTATTGGTCGTAAAAAGCCCTAAAATTTTCAAGTTAGTCTTTTATTTTCTAAATTCTAAATAAAAAACAAACCTAAAAATTTTAGAGCTTTGTTTCAACATGTTTCCAATGTATCGGAAGTCTACGTTCTTATTTTTATAATTTGATTCAACTATGTTGAAACAAACCATTGATTTCTTAAATAGGTTCCGGATAAGAGGTACCATTGTTTTCGCATAAATTCTCACGTTACATATTACAAATTACAACATTGGACAATGAAATGCTAAAATAAAAATAAAAAATAAAGGACAAAATTGTAATATAAAGGATAAAATTTTTTAAATAAAGGGCAAAATTGAATTTTTGAAAAAAAATTAATCTAAACGACAGTCCTCTAAAATAAAGGATAGATGATTTTTACCATACCTATAGAACGAGATTGCAAATCGGGTATCGCTAAAGTATTTTTATTTTCGTAAAATGAAGGTGAATCGAGAAAAATCGCGTGTCCAGGATGTCGTTACATGAAATTGAATGTCTCCTAGTTGCGAAAGGTTCTTTTTTTTTATTATAAGCATTACGCAAAATTTGAAATTAATTGACAAGTGAAAATAAAATGGAGAAAAAAATTACAAAAATTTTTTTACGATTCTTACTTTTATCTTTGTTCTTTTTGATTGTTTAATTTATTTACTTTTAAATATCGTGAGAGAATTTTACAAGATCGTTGTAATATAAAATCTTATATTTTTTTGAAGCATGATAAAACTGCGGAATTAATTGAAATACAATCAATTTGCAGATAAGAGATTATCAATTTAAGCACTATATAACCTGATTAATTTAATAGTCGCGTATTAAATAGCGTAAATAAGATGAAATTAAATTCAAATATGACTTTTATTGAAATCTTGAAGTCGTTTAATTAACAGTTGTTGCATATTTTATATTCGTAATATATAAACATCAAATAATTAGCGGATTGACGCAGGATGTTATAAATATAAAATATGCAACAACTGTTAATTAAAAAACTTCAAGATTTCAATAAAAGTCATATTTGAATTTAACATGCAAGTAAGAACTATAGACGTAAATATGTAAATGTCAATACACCAATTTCAAAGAAGAATACATTTTTTTAAACTGATACTTTGTGTAATTTTCCTTATTGTTAGTATCAAATTTCCTAGTGTTTCCTAGTATATTTAATTTCATGGTATTGTACCAAGGAAAATCAGTGCGCTGTGCACAATTAAATAAATCTCGAATTAAGATTTATTTAATTTCTTGATATCGAATTAAAGAAAATTAATATTCTATAACGTATCAGTTTCAATGAATTTATTCTTCTTTTAAATTGATACACTGACATTTACGTCTGATTCTTACTTCATTAAAA